GCCGTGCGCTGGACCTCTAGCAATCGTGCCCTAGTCTCGGCAGCATCATCGATAACGGCGGGGGCGGGGGAGGGGAGGTGATAAACGAAGTACTGGACGGAGTCGTCGGGCAACTCTGGCTTGGGGATTGGGCGGAAAGTGGACTTGAACCATGCGATATCCTCCTCGGTTGCCATTGTTGGGGAATTGAAAGGGAAGACTTCCGAGTCTTCAAGAGTTCACCGCATGACCTCACCTCAAATGGCATTCCTTCCGCAAAATCACCAAAGAAAAAGGCGGAAGGAGCGACCCACCCGTGACCTGCGCACTAGTCCGTATTGGGCTAGACATCAACAGTGACGCTTCGCTCGTCGCATCTCTCGCCCAAAAACACGTCTGGTCCCAACACTTTCCCCTCTAATATCTACGATTTTCGACGGCAATGGTCGCGTGTTGAATGGTACTTACTTTCCGACACGCGATTCTGTCACAATGGCGTTCCCTTACATCGATACGCCGCGCACCGAAATCGACGGAAACGCGACTTACTTGACCAACGGATTTCGAAGCGTGGGGAGGACGCATCTTTCGGCGCTGGACTCGGTCGAAAACTCATTTCACACACCTTCCAAGGACAACGACGTGCTCAAGGGCTTCGGCGATGGACGAAGACGCACATCCGGGACCTCCAAGGTCGGCACCCCACGCGCGAGTACGGCACAGCGATCGACCAGAACCGCGCTGAGGCATCTCCCAACCACAGCACCGGTCAGCGGTGAATTTACACCTTTGATGAAGAGCGCGACCAAGAACAACTTCCTCAAGAATGTGTCGACAACCAGAGGGGCAGACGATCCGAGGACGCCTGGCTACATGCGAGGCGGCCGTCGGAGCAGCGCCCACACCCCTGGACTACCTACGATGGATATGTCGGATATATATGAAGAAGATATGACTACCGATGATCCGACGCCTCTGCCTCAGGTTGCTAGCAGCAGCGCACAGAGCACTCCGATGCCCGGTCTCATAGGACGTGACGGCAAGGGTATTCTGGGTGACGGCCAGAATATGACGCTCAAGGAGCAGGAACGGGTATGAGAACTTCCTTTGAAATTGGTGTTGATGTTGGTGTTGAGCAGTGGCTAATTTTTCCCCTAGATTATCGATAGGCTCGATAAAGACAACTGGAACCTCAAGCTCAAGATCCACTATTTGGAAGAGCAGATCGAGAAGGCAGGACCAGAATACAATACGCTAGCACTGAAGGAAAACACCGAGCTCAAGGTCGCGAGATTGACCATGCAGCGCGATATCTCCCGATACAAGAAGAGTTTGCTTCAAGCGGAACGTGACTTGGAGGACTATCGACAACAACTGGTGGACATGAAAGAAAGATCTCGGAGGAAGCAGACCGATGAGGAGGTGCAACGCGAGATGGACGCCATGCGGGAGGAAATCGATTCTAGAGACAATGAGCTCCGAGAACTTCGGGAAGAGCTAAGATTATCTAAAGATGAAAAATCCCAGGAGGCCGAAAAACTGCGCGATGAGGTGGAAGATTTGGAAGCGTCACTCCGAGAAAAAGAACGTGCTATTGATGAGCGGGATGAAGAGCTGGAGGAACTGCGAGAGAATGGCAAGCAGAGTGATGCCGCCGCAGAGCTTCAAGCCGAGCTCGACCGTGCCAAGGAGCAAATCGAGGAGCTTCAGGATAGTCTTGAAAAAGCTAAGTCGGATTCTCAAGAAGCAAACCAGTCTGCCAGGCAAGCTATTGATGAAAAGGACCGTGCCGAGGAGGATCTCCGAGAGTTGCAGGATGAAATGTCGAACAAATCCGTCATGACAAAGGGATTTAGTCGACAGCTGGAGGAGAGAGCTGAAAAACTCGAGGAGGAAGTGCAAGGCCTACGCCAAGAGAACGATAATCTCGCCACGGAAGTCGAGAGAAAAACACAATTAGTCTCTCGACTAGAGCAACGCTACGAAGATATCCAACAAGATCTGAAGAACAACGCCGGAAAGCTAGGCGAAGATCTGGAATTGGCAAGACGCGACCGGGATTTGGCCCAGCAACAACTTGAAAGATCAACCGCTCATCTTCAGGAGGCTCGCGAAGAGATTCAACGCCGAAACGAAGAGAAGGAGCTTCTGCAGACTCGCCACCATGCCCTGACCGATGAATCTGGAGGATTACAGAGTGAGCTTGCTCGGGCACAATCGAGGATTCGCGAGCTTCAATCGGCCGTTGAAGAAGCAACGAACCGGGCCCAGGATACTCAAAACGTCCGCTGGCAGCAAAAAGTGGAAGTCGATCGATTGTCAGATGAGATCGAAGCCCTTCAGCACGAGATCGAGGATAAAGAAGGCCACTTTGCCCTCGAGCAGGACAGGTGGGAGAGCACAAAGCGCACCCTGCAGTCACAGAAAGACCGTGCAGAAGAACAGGCCATGGGCTACAAGCGGACAGTTGAAAGGCTTCAAGAAACCGAGCACACTCTTTCTGGAAAAGAGTACAAGCTTCAAGAAGCCATTGACAGCGAAAAACAACGCCATACCCAAGAAGAAGCTGTCCTGAGTCGCCAAATCAAGGACCTCGATAACGATCTCTCTCAGAAGAGGCATATCATCGATGAACAGCGCAACGACCTCTTGACCGTGAGAGAAGAGCTTCGCATTTCACGACGCGAGGAACAGTCTTTCAAGGACAAATTGCAAGCACTGGAGGATGAAGTTGTGGTACTGCAGTCGAGCTTGGCAGATGAACAAGAATACGCCAAGGGTCGACTCCAGAAGGGCTCTTCAGACATGGAGATCCAATTGCAGAAAGCAATTACGGACAGACAGACCCTTCGAGACCAGCTTGCCAATGCTCATGTCGAAATGCACGATCTCCGGGCTACTGTGACTGAAATCGAAGCTGAGCGTAACGAGCTACATGCTCAGCTCGATCAACCTCAGAATGCTGACGATACCACTCGCTTCGATCGTGAAAAACTTGAACTCCGAAGAGCTTCAACACGTTTTGAGAATGAGCTGAAACGGTTGAGAGACGATAAATCAGCCCTTCTTGAGGCTAAGGCTACTCTCGAGCAGCAACTTGGATCCGAGATCGAACGTGCCGCGGCAGATGAGGCTCGCCTCTCAGCTGAAATCGACCGTCTTCAGGATAAGCTCCTTGCAGGATCTGGAAACCGAGACCGAGAGCTGACGACGGCCAAGACGAAGGTGCAGCGACTCGAAAGACGAATCTCAGAACTCGAAACCATCATTGAAAACCAACCTCCAATGGAGACCGAGACATCAACGGCCCATGGGGACCTATCACTTCTTCGACATGGCCTCGAAGAGGCTCGTCTGCGTGAAAAAAATCTTTTGCAGCGGGAAGCTGATCAGAAAGCATCTGCGCGCGCCTTGAAGTCCCGGGTGGCTGACCTGGAGAGGGATCTCCATGGTGCCCTCATGAATAAATTTGAATCGCCCTCTTTGCAAAACTCGCCTTCCAACAAGCTTCACGAGGAGCTACGAAGCTTGCGGAAACAGCTTTCAGATGCCCATCGGTCTCTCAAGGAGACAAAGTCCAAGAACCGGGATCTTGAGCGTGCTGCCATGAAGGAGGAGGACCAGAAGGATTTCCACGAGTTGCTGAAGTCATCAACTCTCGAAGCCGAATCCCTGGCATTAAAGGTCTCTGAGCGCGATGCTCGATTGAACGAGCTGAGAACCCAAGTACGCCGTCTTCGCGAGGAGCGTGCATACTGCGTTCGCAAATTTGAAGCTACGGCTAAGGACCTGGAAGCGCTTCAGCAACGTTATGATGAAGCTTTGGAGAAGGTCTCTCTTGGAAAATCGACCAACAAAACCAGGCACGAGAAGGAAATTCGCGGACTGGGCAAAGAAATTGTCTGGCTTCGTGCCCGACTGCACCGGGAGGAGAAGTTCCGTCGTGATTTGGCTTGGAGCAAGGGACTGATGGAGCTCGGCGAGCGTGTCCGTGTAGCATGGTTCGTATATCCCCTTCTCAAAAGCATTATCAGTCAACTAACATGGTTTAATACACAATAGCAATGAAGCTGATCTTCGCTTGATTTCCGAGATGGGCGTCCAAGCCCGCGACCGCACATCTACGCGAACGCCTCGCAGCAAATTCCGATCTGCTATTTCCATGGTCGTAGCTGCTGTTCGCATGCAACGGATGGGCCAGGAGTGGCGGCGAACGAAGAAGATTGGCGAAGGCCTGAAGCGAGCCAAGAGCGAGATGCTGAAGCGTCGCGAAGGCTCGAATCGAAGTCTGCTCGGCCAATAAACGCCTCACTCCGACCAGTTGTCACTGTGTCGTCTTGTTTTTATAGGCCACTTTGTGCCTTTTTCATTTCCCAGCGTCTTAAATTCTGCCACGAGAGATTCCCCGACATGTCTTGCTTGTACACACCTTCCTTTTTGTCTGTTCGGTTTACTTCTTTCCAGCATAGGGCGTTCGAAGGAATTTTTTTTGTGTTCTCCACTTGGGTATTGGCATTGCTTGAGCATAATGAATGACTGGCGCGAGATAGGATGATAATTATGCCAATTTCAGGTAGTGTAACGTCGACTAGAATTGAATTTGAAATGGATTTATCCTTAGTCAACAGGACTTTGATGCTTGTGAATGGTAAAGATTCGATCTACAGGCAGACTAGACCATACAAGGACACATGGTAGGGAACAAGCATGTATGTGACTGTTGCTCTTGTTATGATGACAACCCACCAGGATAAAAAAGACATGGATATTTGCTCGATAAACGCCTCGCCGTTGCCAAGGTACTCGAAAACAGTAAAACAAAATCGCTTCCGAACACCAAATTCTTCAGAGACACGAAACCCCAAGCCCCAGCATCCCGTAGCTGGCCAAAACACGGTCTATTCCAAGGCTGACATCCTTTAGTATTCGACGAGAAGAAATGGTGTGCGATGCCTTATCAGTAAATGAGAATGGGATGTTTGCGATGCAACGCGCGAGGCAAGAGGGGACTGCCTCTTTGCTCATGCTCCTTCGCTACCGAACTCCTTCGTCCACTCGGAGTTCCTTGTAAGATCCTCGTTGCTGACTGTTGGCCGGGAATTACGCACAGCCTTAATGAAATCCTTCAGAACCAGAGGGGGCTCGAGAAGCTTCTCGGCTTCCACGTTGAGCCAGGTCATTTCCACTGCGCCGGGATCGCCTGGTGAGCAAGGGGTGACTTTCTCCTCGCCTTCAACAGTCACCTGAGAGGGGAAATGTTAGTGAGATACTTGATTGAAAGGATAAGGGCGATGACAAACCTTCTTATAGTGTGTCGCGGTTTGAATCTTGCGGATGGGTTGCATCAGAGCATCCTGCACAGCAATACTGATATCACTACCGGAGTAGCCCTCACTCATATCGGCTAGTTGCTTGTAGTCCGCTTGTGTCATATGACACGGCGTCGAGCCCACGGCCAGCATGAACATCTTCATCCGTGCATTGATATCAGGCAGACTGATGTGAACTCTGCGCTGGAATCGTCGCCGAATAGCGGCATCCAATTGCCAAGGAATGTTGGTTGCACCCAGAATCAAAACTCCCCTAGAGTCATTTCCCACACCATCCATTTGCACCAGAAGCTCGGTCTTGATACGTCGCGACGCCTCGGATTCACCTTCGCCACGAGGGCCGCACAGCGCATCGACCTCGTCAATGAAGATAATCGCAGGTTTGTTTTCACGGGCCATATTGAAGAGCTGTTTCACAAGTCTAGGGAGGTCAGTCAGTCATATATTTCATGCGCAAAGGCAATGCGCTTACCTTTCACTTTCACCCATCCACTTCGATACCAAGTCACTACTGCTCACACTGAAGAATGTGCTGTTTGCCTCCGTTGCGACAGCTTTGGCAAGATAGGACTTTCCGGTACCCGGGGGGCCATAGAGCAAGATACCCTTCCAGGGTTGTCGCTTTCCAGTAAAAAGATGCGGGAACTTGATCGGGAGGATGACGGCCTCTTTCAGCGCCTCCTTCGCGCTCTCTAAGCCAGCAACGTCCTCCCATTTAACATTCGGTTTGTCAGATAAGATGGCTCCTTGAAGCGCCGAGCGAAGCTTCTTGGATTCCGCGTCCTCGCCGTTATCGTCTTCTTTCCTGTTGAGTGATTTTGGTCAGCGCTGTGTAAAATTGAAAGATGCGTACTTTGAACGGCTCGAATTCAACAGGACGTTCTCCGAGAACGAATAACAATAAGCCTGTAGGTACAGTAGGTGCAAAAGCGCAAAATCAAGGGCGGGGCAAATAACGTACTCGCCCTTCCCACTTCCCTGCGATACTTTGCCATTCGCGCCCACCGCGCTTGGCTTTTTCCCACCGTCCGGCGTTGCAAGATGGTTTTTCAGCTTCTCTGCGCGATCCATATACTCGCCGGCCTTCGCCCGGATCATCTCTTTTGACCGGGGGTTCTTCTCCCACTTGAGAGCCAGCATAAACAACTCCAATGCGGAGTAGTAGAGTTGATAAGCCTTCTCGTACTCGCCATCATTGTCATTCTCGATCGCCTTCTTGACGGTATCGATTGCCCGCCCCAAGAAATCCGTGTTACTCATGCTGGCGGGAGCGAGGTGGTGCCTATCGTCACGTTTCGGAGTTGTGGCAAGTCGATCGCGGAGGGAGAAAGCGGGGAGAGGGGGTTCAAGTACCGGTCTCGGCGTGCGCAGGCAGCGGCTCAACGAAAGGCAGCAGCTGATAGGGGAAATTGACAGGTTGAGAGATTGGACGAAGGGTAAGAATGGCGAACTTCGTTGCGGGGAGTGTGGATGATGGAATTGGAGGGGTGGAAAGTGGAAGGGTGTCGTCGCCGGGCGGAAGTCGATCCACCGGGCTTTCTCCTCTGCCACCTCCCCGCCAACCGTCGCTATGGACGCCCAGAAACAGTTACAGGCACTTTCGGACGAGTTCCAACAGCTGCAGACTGGTATATTCGCCTTGATGATTGTTGTGCTCATTGCTATAAATGATTTCTGACTGTTTCTTCCACAGAGCTCGAGGGTCTAGTCGATGCCCGCCAAAAGCTCGAGTCCCAGCAACAGGAGAACCAGGGCGTCCAGAGTGAATTCGCCCAACTCGATGATGAATCAAATATCTACAAGCTCGTTGGACCGGTGTTATTGAAGCAAGATAAGGCCGAGGCCACCATGGCTGTGAACGGTCGGTTGGAGTTCATTGAGAAGGAAATGTGAGCTATGCCAGCTCCTCTGTTTGCCGCAATTACTCGCTAACCCACCCTCAACAGCAAGCGCATCGAGGGAGAGATTACAGACAAAGAGGAGAAAGGCGAGAAAAAGCGTGCTGAGGTAACGATTGACCTCTTATGACCCAGGCCTTGCCGTTTATGCTAACTTCAATGTCTACAAACAGGTTCTTCAGATCCAGGCTCAGGCTCAGGCCCAGCAGCAGCAGGCCACAGCTGCTTCAGCTTAAATTTTAAAATAATTCGAATGCATACTCCTCGAAAAACAAAATAAAACCCGGAAGGGGACTAGTCAGCTGGATTTGACCATATGATAAGATGAGATGCGCGTGACCTGCCCTAGGGTTCTTGTGTAGTTTGAATGATCTCCATCTGTCGGAAATCCTGCAATATAAGAAATCATTGCCGGCCGTTTGACATAGGTTTGTTTGCAATTCGATTAAATAAACAAGCCACCGGTAGGTCGAGATACGATTGTCATATCTAGACCTCTGGACGGACGATGATTGATGAATGCTCCGATGTGCTATTGTCAATGGACATTGTAGCTATCATTTATCTTGCTATACTAAATCTTTCGACAGAGCTTTCGTACTAGGTATCCGATCTCGGAACTGTGTAGGTTTACCTCCATTGAAACAGTCTGGCTTGAATAGTTATCTATTAAGTTCTTTATTTGAGTGGTGGCGTCCACTATCAAGGTTGGAATTAACTACCTAGGTAGTGGGAAATTTGGCTAACTGCCGAAATGCTGCACCTCTATTCTCTTTTTTATTGCATTAATATTTCAGATATCTGTCATTTATTCATTTCCACAAGCAGACACATTTACGTGAAGCAAATCTAGAATCTATGCCTTGACCAGCAAGCTCTTGCCAGTCATCTCAGCGGGTTGCTCAATGCCCATGGCAGCCAGGACAGTAGGGGCAACATCACCCAGAACACCACCCTCCTTGGCAAGGCTCCAGCCAGCAGGGGCATTGGCCATAACGAAGGGCACCAGGTTGAGAGTGTGAGAGGTCTTAGGAGTACCCTTCTCGTTGAGCATCTCCTCGGCATTTCTATCACGATTGGTTAGTTTTCATGCGGATTTGATAACATTTCGAGGGAGACTCACCCGTGATCGGCAGTAATCATGAGGATATAGTTGTTCTTCACGCAAGCCTCGTAGATCTCACCAATGGCCTTGTCGGTGGCAGCGACACCCTTAATAGCAGCCTCGTAGACACCAGTGTGACCAACCATGTCAGGGGGAGCGAAGTTGTTCATAACGAAGTCGAACTTCTTCTCGCCAAGACGCTCAGCCATCTTGGTGCCGACCTCGGCAGCGCTCATCTTGGGGTCAAGATCGTAGGTAGCCACGCGAGGCGAGGGGATCATGTCACGGATTTCGCCGGGGAACTGCTTCTCGATACCGCCGTTGAAGAAGAAAGTGACGTGAGCGTACTTCTCAGTCTCGGCAATGTGGCATTGCTGCAAGTTCTTCTTGGCCAGCCATTCGGCCAAGACGTTGCCCATTTGTTGAGGAGGGAAGGCGACGGGGAAAGTGTAGTCGGTCTTGTATTGTGTCATGGTGGTAATGGAGATGTTCTTAGGGTAGGGGAAATCGGGTCTGGGGGAGCGGTCATAGTCACCCAGAAGCTGAGTGATCTCACGAACACGATCCGAGCGGTAGTTGAAGAAGAACAGGGTGTCGTTGTCTGATAAGAAGTTAGTAAACGCTTATCAAAGAGCTATATTTGAGATCGTGGGAACTGACCCTGCACACGACGCTCCTTGCCGCCAACAATGATAGGCTTGAGGAATTCATCGGTCTCCTTCTTCTCATAACGGTCCAGAATGGTCTTCAGAGGGTCGGAGCTGTCCTCGCCCTCGCCAGTGACCATACCCTTCATACCAACCTCGACACGCTCCCAGCGCTTGTCGCGGTCCATAATGTAGTAGCGACCAACAACAGTGGCGATGGAACCAATACCAACTTCCTTGATCTTGTTGAGAAGCTGCTCCATGTATAGGGCAGAGCTCTTGGGATCGGTGTCACGACCATCACCAAAGAAGTGGATGAAGACTTCGGGGATCTGCATCTCCTTGGCGACATCAAGCAGAGAGAACAGATGGGTGATGTTGGAGTGAACGCCGCCGTCCGAGACCAGACCGCACAAGTGCAGACGGCCGTTGCCCTCCTTAGCACGAGTGAAGGCCTTGACAATGTTCTCGACCTTGTTCATCTCGCCGTTCTTCATGGTCTGGTCAATGCGGACACTGTCCTGCCACACGACACGACCAGCACCAATGTTAAGGTGACCGACCTCACTGTTACCCATCAGACCCTCGGGAAGACCGACAGCAATGGAGGAGGCTTCCAATCCAGTGTAACCCTGAGCAGTCTTCGAGTTCTTCTCGGCGAAGCCGGACATGAACGGGGTCTCGGCGGCGGCGATAGCATCGCCCTGAGGAGGGGAGTTAGGGCCAGCGATACCCCAACCGTCAATGACGACTGCAAGATGTTGATTAGTCCGGGGTTATTCTGGGGACCTGGGGGGAAAGTCGATCATACTCAAAGCAACTTTTTGGTCGACCGCAGCCATAGTGGGGGTGTATTGTCTTGTAATCACACCTGCAGCACGAATCAATGGCTGAACCGAAAAACCATAATCGTTCAATTTGAGGGGTATGTGGCTTACTTACGGACAGATGATGAGAGGAAGAAGAGAAAGGGGGAGAAAACCGTTTGTAGTCGAAAATTGGCAGGCCGGTGAAGGAGGGGCACAGTTTCCCCCGGTGACGCTTTTGGTTGCTGAGGTCTCCGACGCCCCGACGTCACCTTCCGTTCCGACTCTTCCCTAAACACTTATCCCCGCCGGCTTCTAGTCGTTCTTCACCCTTATACCCTCGGGCTTCGATCTGTCTTAGATCTGCAATGGCTTCTAGATCTCCGGCCGCTGCTACTCCGCTACCCAAGTCCTCGGTTGCGCCCGAGAGTCCTTCCAAGGAGGCGAACACGACTCCGACACCCCAGACTGTTCCTTTCCCTTCACCACAAACATTTGAGATACTCCCACAACTCCATGGAATTCTTCTTCGTTTGCTTTCGCAGAAGACCACAGGAAATGACGCTGTAGGGGGCCCAGAAATTGCAGGCACATCCACAGAGGCACACCCAGATGGCCAGCAACCACCGTCAAACATCCCCGGCGAGGCCAATGACCCTACAGCTTCTCAAGCTGCAGCAGGTGCTCTCGATCCAAATGCCCCTCCGCCACTCGACGTCAAAGATCTCCCAACTGAAACCCACTCGGTCAAAATTCGAATCCAAAAGGCACGGGCGGTGGTAGAAGGACTTCCAGACGTGCAGCGATCTGTCGAGGAGCAACAAGACGAAATTTCTGAGCTTGAGGACCGTGTGGCCCGTTTACGTTCTGTCATTTCAGACTTTGGGACCCGGGCAGGGCAGGACCCGCTGGATCATCCCAGAGTGACAGTGGCTTGAAACTCGTGATGGGTACATAGCCCTACGGATAACAATCGGGGGAAAAATTGGATGCACGCGTCTTCCTAGGTTTTTTCGTTGGAGTTAAGGAATGGAATACCCAAAATGTATTTAGCGATGATCTATTATGGGACATAATGTCCAGGCTTGTCTTGAAGTACCTAGTACATATCGTGCCTCGGAACCGTAAGAAAACTATTCGGTGCAGCTATGTTTTCCGATATCAAGAAGAAAACTAGTAAACCCGAGGCCACTGGCGATTCCTACTACCCAGGTAGCTGTCAAGAAGTTAAAAAACATACAATTTCCCCATCCAAGGACGCTCGCCCCCGATCCGGCCAAAGTCTCCGATATCGTCCACCCGGAAATTCTGCCTGAGGCAACAGTCGATCACTCCGCCCCTCCCCCCCCACCACCCATCTTTTTTTCTTCCCTCTTCTCTTCATTCTATATATCCTCCCATTCTCTCTCCCTTTTCTCAGTTCATCAAAGAGAAGAAAAATAACATCCATCACAATGACTTACGCTCTGTCCGAAGCCCACAAGGCTGTGAGTATTCCATACCGTCCCATAACAAGCAGAGAACGCATCATTGACTCATTCCTTCTATACAGCAAATGCACGATGGCCTCAAGGAGTCCGACCCTGAGATCTCCGCGCTCATGGTACGTGGTAAATTCGATCTAATTGAGCTTCCAATGCCATTATGGCTTGGTCAATTCCTCCCAAGTTAGCTTTACTGACGTTGATTGTCGTCGATAGGAGCTCGAGATTCAGCGTCAGCGTGAGTCAGTCGTCCTGATCGCTTCGGAGAACTTCACCTCCTCCGCTGTCTTCCAGGCCCTTGGTACCCCCATGTCCAACAAGTACTCTGAGGGTTACCCTGGTGCTCGTTACTACGGTGGCAACCAGCACATTGATGCCATTGAGATCACCTGCCAGAACCGTGCTCTGAAGGCCTTCAACCTGGACCCCGCCAAGTGGGGTGTCAACGTCCAGTGCCTGTCTGGCTCCCCTGCCAACCTGCAGGTCTACCAGGCTCTGATGCGCCCTCACGACCGTCTCATGGGTCTTGACCTCCCCCCATGGTGGTCACTTGTCTCACGGTTACCAGACCGCTACCCGCAAGATCTCTGCTGTCTCTACCTACTTCGAGACCTTCCCCTACCGTGTCAACCTTGAGACTGGTATCATCGATTATGACCAGCTCGAGACCAACGCCGAAATGTACCGCCCCAAGTGCCTGGTCGCCGGTACCTCCGCCTACTGCCGTCTGATTGACTACAAGCGTATGCGCCAGATCGCTGACAAGGTCGGCGCCTACCTGATTGTCGATATGGCCCACATCTCGGGTCTTATTGCTGCCGGTGTCATCCCCTCTCCCTTCGAGTACGCTGATGTTGTCACCACCACCACCCACAAGTCCCTCCGTGGTCCCCGTGGTGCCATGATCTTCTTCCGCAAGGGTGTCCGCAGCACTGACAAGGCCGGCAAGGAGGTCCTGTACGACCTTGAGAACCCCATCAACTTCTCCGTCTTCCCTGGTCACCAGGGTGGTCCTCACAACCACACCATCACTGCTCTGGCCGTTGCCCTTAAGCAGGTTGACACTCCTGAGTTCAAGCAGTACCAGGAGCAGGTCATCAAGAACGCCAAGGCCATCGAGAACGAGTTCAAGGCCCTTGGCCACAAGCTCGTCTCTGATGGCACTGACAGCCACATGGTTCTCCTGGACCTGCGCTCCAAGGCCCTCGACGGTGCCCGTGTTGAGGCTGTCCTCGAGCAGATCAACATTGCTTGCAACAAGAACTCCATCCCCGGCGACAAGTCTGCCCTGACCCCCTGCGGTATCCGTATTGGTGCCCCCGCCATGACCACCCGTGGTATGGGCGAGGAGGACTTCAAGCGCATTGCCGATTACATCAACCAGACCATCGACCTGTGCAAGAAGATCCAGAGTGAGCTGCCCAAGGAGGCCAACAAGCTCAAGGACTTCAAGGCCAAGGTCGCCTCCGATACTGTCCCTGAGATCCTGGCTCTCCGCAAGGAGATTGCCGCCTGGGCCAGCACCTTCCCTCTGCCCATCTAAAGTGGTCATTTGACTGCATTATGAAAGGGGGAAGATAATTGTTAGGATATGACAGTCACGAAGAGAGATTCTACATGAGATCTCGCGAGTTCAACATCATCTACGAAAGCGTCGCAAGATGCGAAATATCACACGGTGCGTTTTATGGGGTTTTTTAATACAGGTCTGCTCTTTCAACCTAAGGGACATCTGGGATTTTGGTCATTCTGTTTATTTTTATTTATTTGTTTCCATTTTATGAGCATGTGCAACGAGCAATTTCTTTCCACCTCACCGCTCATTCAACTGCGGGAGGTCCTGGATTCTTCAGGAGACAAAAAAGTTCAACATAATCTGGCGTGTGGGCCTTTGATTTTGCTGTACATCATTCATCCAATCTATTCTTGGAATTCCAATACAATTAAATGCGTGTTTGGACAAACTTTTCATTTCCCAGCAGGTCCTCTGGAAGTACCTCCGTCCTAGTTTTCAAGTACCTTTATTACTGACTCCGCATAGCAAAAGTACTTTGTCTACGCTCTGTAGATACTTTGGACTTGCTTTATGTAATGCTCCCTCACGTGCCAGGCCCCTCCCCAAGTCAAGTTCCACCTTCCACCTTGGAACATCCCCCGCGAGATTTCTTTTACCGTTGCGTCACTCATTCTTCATGCGCTGAAATCACCCTTGTGTCCTTACAGATCACTTTGGTTCTGTCCCGAGCTTTTTCGAGGCGGCTGTTGCTATATTCAAACTCGTTGGCCCCTCCCCCGCTTGTCCTACTGGCTTCGATAAGCAAGTGTCGATCTTATCGTTGCGTCAGACCGTTGCGGATTTCACCCATTGGAAGCCTTCATCTTCCAGGTTGACTAGACTCGCGGAAGTTCCAGGTATCTGAAACGGCGCGACAGTGCAGAAGCCCCATCATCGGAGAGGAAGAGAGAACAGCGGAAGACAACCCTTCATCAAGAGCCCCAAGCCCCCGCAGAGATGGCCAGTGCAGCGCAGTGTTACTATTGTTTCGAAACCTTGTCCGCTTCGTTTGAGAACCGCGAGCCTGCCTCTTTGGCAGCCGTAGAGGCTCTCTGGGAGCAACACGAGCAGTCTAAGAAATTATCAGACCTCGAGGCCCGAGAGGAGGGTACCCTTTCGGATGAGGATGCAGAAGATGATGAAGAGCCATGTCTATCAGAGTCAGCAAATGACGATAATGACAGTGGTGACGCTCAGCGTCTGTCCAAGAGTAATCGGCTTCAGGGCCTTAAACTACGCAGCGTCAATCGTCCGCAGAGTCAAGTTCCCTCCGACTCATCCAGTGCGGCAACCACGCCATCCTCCGCTTCTAACACATCTTCCAATTCTCAATTGTCTAGCTCGACCGCTGTGACGACGCCTGGCTCTCAGTCAGATGTACCTGGGTCCCGAAATCAGTCCACAGATCAGAAATACCCATTATTTGTGACCTGGAATACCATCTCCAGGAGCGGATCCAAGTCCCTACGCGGCTGCATAGGCACCTTCGAAGCCCAAAATCTTCCAGCGGGACTGAAGTCGTATGCAAAGACCTCGTATGTTATTGACTCCCACCACTTGACCTCCCCGCTGTGCTGGCCAATTACCCCTCAACTAACCATGAAAATAGTGCCTTTGAAGACACCCGCTTCGCCCCGATTCCTCGGTCTCTTCTCCCTTCGCTATCCTGCTCATTGACCCTTCTGGGCTCGTTCGAGCCGTGTACCAATGCCATGGACTGGATTCTAGGTACCCACGGTATCCGTATCTCCTTCGTCCACCGCGGCCGGCGCTATGGTGCGACCTACTTACCCGATGTTGCCGTCGAGCAAGGCTGGACAAAGGAAGAGACGATCGAAAGCTTGATGCGGAAGGCTGGGTGGGATGGTGGTGTTGGTAGCGTTGCAAGGAGACTTCTGCGAACCAATACCGGGGGATCAAATGTTGACCAGCCTTGGGAACAAGTCTCGGATTTCCGGACTGTCAAGTATCAAGGACTGAAGGCGAGTGCAAGTTACGCGGACTGGCAAGAATGGCGAAAGTGGGTGCTTTCTTTGGCTGATGGTCCGGAACTGCTTGGTTTAACCTGATCGTGGGGACATCATATCCCAAGGTAGCATTTCCTTGTATTAGATTTTGTTTCGTTTTGCGACACTCATGATTATGACATGACATGATGTTTAATTTGTTGACCTAGAACTATTGTTCGAAAGCATTATGATAACGACCCAATGCAACCAACTCATTCAAATTGAAGTTTAGTTCTAGTATTTTCCCAGGGTTATAAGTTGTAATTTAATAATTTCAGAGAAAGTTGGCTTGCAATCATACTATAATACCACTAATAAGCTGGCCTATTCAATAGTTCCGAGTCATAAATCATGGTCATTGTGTCGTGATATCTAGAGCCGCCAGAAACAGTCCAAATTCAAGCATAAAAAGCAGAATATGTGTGATTTATCAACAAGACAATGTATAGACCTGCATAGCTGCAGCAGATGTCATTTACTTGCCATGACCCCGACTCCATAGTCCGGCCACCATCTCCTTAACTCGACGCTCCTGTTCACGAATTTGGTCCTCCGTCTGACCACGTGCATTCCCCCGACTGTCAATCTGCATAGGACTACTGCCATCATTGGCGGTGGGGGTTTGCTGATGCTGTTCCTCAACAACTTCATTTCCATTAACACGCTCAGGCTTGGGATCGATACTCATTACGCCGTCCATCATGAAGCCGCCACCCTCGCGCAGCTTGTTGATAGCGCGGACGGTATCGATGGCCCGGTGCAGAGTGCGGCGAGCGTTGAAGTTCTTCTTGACAGTGGGCAGAAGATCCTCGCCAGAGCCCTTTCTCGAAGTGTCGTAGGGCGGGCTGATCCAGGGGTGCTGTAGCGCCTCATGGGCGGTCATGCGTCTGGCCGGGTCGATTGTCAAGCAGCGGTTGATGAAGTTGCGGGCTTCTGCCGAGACACCACGCCAGTACTCGAGGGGCGTGAAGGAGTAGTCTGCGGCCAAAATTGCTTGCATCTCCTCGAGGTTCGAGTCTCGATCAAAAGGTGTATAACCACAGAGAAGGAAGTATGTAATTACACCAATGGCCCAAATGTCACTGCGAAGGAAGAAGTTGTTTGTCAGTAAAAAGATGGCGACCAATTTCGGGATTGTCCTCAAAGAACTCACACTGGCTTTCCGTGACCACTCTTCTTGAAGATTTCTGGAGCCATGTAGCCAGGTGTGCCGCAAGTTGTTGTCAAAACATGGAATTGCTCTTCATCCATGATTCTAGATAATCCAAAATCGGCAATCAAAAGATCGGCATTATCTTCGGGGGTTCGGAAAAGTAGGTTCTCAGGCTTCAAATCACGGTGGACAATACCGTGATCATGCAGATATGCGACGGCCGACAGAACTGCCCGAATGAGATCGGCAGCATCGGACTCGTAATAGCTGCCTTTGCGACAAATGCGATCGAAAAGTTCTCCGCCAAGAGCCAGGTCTGTCACGAGATATACTAAGGTGCAACAATGATCAGCATATATATACTAATAATCAGTAATCGAGGATGTACTCCGTAGGGGAGAAAGACTCCAACTCCAAATCGCGGGGCAAAAAAACACATACGGTTGTTCATGGTCTCGAAATAGTCCACTAGCGTCAGAATATTCTGATGGCCCATGGACACTTTCTTCAGCACCGCGATCTCATTGCGGACCTATTCGTATGTCCCAAATCAACATGGTCAGCCTTTAGCGCTCTGCTGTGCTAAAATACGAGCTTCCTACCATGTGCTCACGCCCCGCCATGAGGCGCTTGTTGATGACCTTGGCGGCATAATAGCGACCGGTGTCGATATGGACGCACTCCTTCACGACCGAGTAGGAGCCAGCTCCCAAAGTCTTTCCTGTCTTGTAGCGACAAGGCTGGACTTGTGTTCGCTGGCCGCTCGGAGGTTGCGCCATGAGGTGCGGAGTGCGCGGGGATAAGAATGCAAGTCGGATGGGGCGTAGGGGGGTGGAGGAGACGAGGTTCGCAAGTGCGTGAGGGCGAGTGATGAACAAATGTACGTTCTGACAAGGAGTATATATGTGCACGGCGCTGGTATGTACCTGTCGTGAACAAGAGTCAGCCTCACGCGGTGCGATGTGCTACGGGGGCGCTCGCATGTGCGGCGAGTTTCAGCCCCGCCATGGTTGCGCCGGGGTACCAACAGATGGGTGATTCAGCCGAGAAAGTTGACAGGTGGGGTTCAACTTGCCAGTGGTGACGAAGAAGGGAAAAGGAGAGGAGTGCAGGAGTGAAATGGAAATGGAGGGATTGAGTTCGATGGGGAAGTGTCCAGACTCTCCGTCCCGATTATTGGGGGCCTTCGGATCGACAGATCACCGTGGCCATCCTTGGCTGCTAGTTAACAAACTAATAATACTAGTAACGTCAAGTTGAAACAATTGCCCTTGTCGCGTGAATAATATAAGATATATTAGTTGATACTACAGGAGCAACATCAGGTGAAGTTAACCAACAGGTGTTAAAATTATTCAATAGAAATGCATATGCAAGAGCCAGACAACACCAACTGCCATGCAGAAGAACAATTAAAGATAAACCAACCCAACCCCCCAAAAATAAAAAATAAATAACTCCGTTCAATGCGCCTCGGAACAACATGAATCAACATCCAAATAACAGATGGAAAACGTCAGACGCAAAGAAAAAAAAGAGACAAGATCATCACATTTGGGCAAGGACACCCTCAACAACATCAGTGAGCAGCTGCAGGCTATGGAACTTGGCCACACTCTGCAACACTCGTAATTTCTTTTCCATTTCTTTTCGATCGATCGTTGAGGCCCATGTTCCACTGCAGGAACAGTGCTCGGAGAACTCGCTCATTTTGAGAGTCTTGCACTTGGAACACTTCAGATCCTGTGTCTGCCACTCCACAATGAGACCTTGCACCTGACCAATCATCACCTCCTCTTGTGCCAGGCGATCATATTCGGTTTGACAGAAGGGACAGCGCCACGGTTTTGGGGTCTTTGCGTCCGAGCCAGGGTCTGGGAGAACGTCCTCGTCACGACAGAGGTCGAGATCACGGATGAGACAGCACGCGTTACAGGTGAGCTCTTGGAGTTTCAGGTTGGCACTAGGGTTTTCGAAGCGACCTTCCTTACTGAACTCACGGACTTCGAAGAGAGCAAGCAGTTCGCGGCGGAGCAGGCGGGACTCGAGCGTTGTTGTCTTGGATAGACTTAGGACCTGCATGAGTAGCTTCACCAGTTCCAACGCCGGGTTGCGCTTGTGGCCCTTGGGATCGTCCAGAACACCAGGAAGAACAGGGAAAGCATAATCGGACGCAAGCTCGGGGTGAAGCATCTCGTCGCGCTGGCGGCGAATAAGACCGGTTATCTGTTTCTTCAGCGGCTTCGAGAAACGATCGGCCAGAACAGCAGAGAGCTCTTCGCTGTCCTTATCAGTCGGTTGGGTAATGGGAATCTGCGTCAAGCGAGGAGTGGATGATATCTCGGCATCCTGAAGGTCAGGTCGTTTCAATGTGTGCATCAGCTCGATATACTCAATAACCCAATCATGGAAAATGGTCTGCATGGGCGTCGGTAAGAACCGGCTGAGTTGCCAATGCATGACGGTCTCAAGCTCTTGGTGTTCGGCCTCGACCACTTCCCGGCAGCCCTTTCCACCATAGTTGTACTCATCATACCAGACCAGGTAATCCCAGTATTCCTTGATTTCGAGATCGATGAAGTGGAATGAAGGATTTCCTCGGATAGACTTCAAGACATATTGGCTGTAGGCGTAGGCGTTACCGACCTCAGTCTTGGTCGTTTGGAGGAGAAGGCGGGTAGGGCTGGCGAAAATAACGTTCGAGCCAACTCGTCTAAACTCGGCCATCAACCTCTGGAAAGACTTTCGAGAAAGCAAGCGGACATAGTTGTGCAAAGAACGGTCATAAAGGCACGATACTGGGCTCTCCACCCATCGGATCAAGTGTTGAACCATGATGTCGGCCATACTATTACCGGCACAAGCCTCCGTCCACCAGTGTTTGACCATTTCTCGCAACACAACAGCACCCGCAGATGCAAACGCCTTTTCAGAGTAAAGCACACCCGAGTCATCTGCAGCACCCCCGGAAGGAGCTAGAAGGCTATCGGTGCCACCTTCCATTTCGTTGACGATCGAGGAAGTGAGGATTGTGTTAATAGCAAGGTTTCGAATGTCCAACTCGATGCAAACAGTCGTGTACGCACTTGGTGCATTCGCAGATGGCATATTTACCTTCTCTAGCGATCCCATAACGTCATCCTTTTCATACCCAGCATGATCTGGCCGCGGCCCGTGAGACCACCAGAGAACAACGTTGCTTTTTTGAAGTCGTCGGGCATATGAGATATCGATCAAGTATCGAGGGTCATCAGTTTCAAGGTTGCAGAGAGGGACATCGCCATAGCGGGCAAGCATGGTTAGATGCTGTATCCACGCAGACAAGTATAGGTAGTGTGTGACGAGTCGCCTGCCGATGAATGCCTGCCATCCAAGCGGGGGCAGATCCATGTCTGAGATTTCGGGCTTCACAGAAAGGACGGGGTATTCTTTTAGAATAGGGATGTCATGACACAGCCGATCTCTCTGCTGGGACTGGATGACTAAAACAGCCGGTTGACTCTCGTCGGCTCGAAGCTTCTTGACCAAATCTCCAACTTCGAGATACGCCTTCCTCCTGGTCATCACTTGAGTCGTCTTGAAGTGAATCTTGTCCTGATACTCGAAAGCATTCAACGACTCGTCCCTGTGGCGTCCTGCATCTTCCGAGAAAGCAGTTCTGAGTATATTTTATCAACGTTTGGAAGGCCTTGAACATCCCTGGTGCGATTGAGGATGACGATGTATGCCTCCTTCTTGGTTGTTGAAAAGAGGGCAAAGACCTGTCTATCACCAGAGGCAACGTGGTACAGGTAATGGTATGCCAAGGGTGAGTCCAACAAGTAAGGTTGATCGGAAGAAGCATGAAGCAGATTGGAGAGATCAAAGCCACGGTCTAGACCATCACCAAGGACACCACGTTGCTCTTCATCGAAGGTGCAGTGACTTCCCAATTTGAGCACTGCTCGAATACTGGCAGGGATATTTCGCTCATAGACACCCTCGATACTGGGATGCTGGAACAAAGCGTCCATTTTCTCCGCCTCTTCTAGGAACACATCCTCCGATAGAGAGAGCTTAAACAGATGGACCGAGGGATGGCCGTTTGGTAGGGTGTGGTTGACCTTTTCAACTTCACAGTCGGGAACCTCAATATCAGGAAGGGATTCACGTTTCAGATTCACAAAGAATTGCCGAGGAACCTTCACATTGAGTGCTTGAATCTTTTGGTCAATGAGTACGAAAGCTCGGACAATTCCCGGTCGACCTGTCTCGCAGAGCTGAATAACCTGCCAAGTGCTGATGTATAGCATCTGGGCCTGGTTTCGGAAGAAATTGCTCAAGGAGTCAGAGGCAGCGCTGGGGCGCTCACCGAAAAGCTGGCGACGGCGAATACGGGCTTGCTTCTGGATCTTCCACTTCTGCTTCTGGTACTTGAGAAACCCTTCATAGTCGTCCAAGATAGAAGGCATGACGGCCGGGAGGCTGGCGAAAGGATCAAGGGAAGTTTTAGGAATCCCTTCAGGGTGTTTCCTTTTCTGGGAGACTTTTGCCTCGGGGGATGATATAAGCTTCTGAGTTGACTGTGCGATAGCTTGGTCCATGTCCCCGGCATGTTGAACTCGATGGTCCAAGATATTGGTAGATATGCTGGAAAGAGGAGGCTTATCCGATTTAACAAATAGGTCGGTCATCTTCTTTTGCTTGAATTTATCGTCCTTGATGTTGATTCGACGTTGCAACCAATCAGGATGGGCAACACGAGGCACCGGATTGCGTAGCTTTTGGAGAGCAGCTGGAATTGTGATGAGCTTTTGCACCACCGAGCCGAGACGCTCAATGTAGTAGTTCCAGTCAATGATATTCCGAGGATCCATGTCACCAGGATCATCCTTGAGCCACTTTCGCAGGAAGAATCGTCTCACATTCTCTTCCGCTGAGAAGATGGTGACTGGGATGGCTCTTTCCGTGACGGGTGTGTTTCTTGGTCTTGCAGAGATGATGTACTTGCAGTTCAGACCCTTATCCTTCACCATCTGCTCTCCCAGGAATTCCGCTAAACGTTTGGCTGTCGTGATGGATGTCGACTTCTGGTTGCCGTACTCTTCTAGGGGCTTCGTCATACTTCGGTTTTCCGAAATGAGGTCAATTAGCTCTTCATCAGCCAACGTCGCACCATGCTCAAAAAGTACGTCCAACCACCGATCGGCGACACGAGAAACCGCAGCATAAGTCTCTGCAAGGTTGCTTCCCTCTAGGAAGAACTTGAAGATCTGGGTCTGGAAAATCTTGATCAATTTCAACTCTCCTCTGCGCTTGACCTCGAAACCTTTCAATTCAGCTAGGGAACCGTCGTGGTTGAAAACCGCATATCGCTTCTTCAAGTTCTTATCTTCCTCCTTTGAAGTTGGAAGAATCATGGCCCTGTAAGGTCCGTCGACTTCGAAGAAGATAGAGTTCTCGCTGTAAGTTTTGTATTTGTGGGTGGATGTGTCAACAAGAGACTGGTACTGGTGATTGGTGTATTTCGCGTGAACAAGGTGGTTCAGCATGACGCAGGGGTACGAAATACCGAGCTTCTTCCCATTTTTGAGTGTGAAGGAAAAGTTTTCGGGAAAGCTTCCTGGAAGCATGCACCAAATACCATCGGTATCCAATTCCAAGGGTCGGCCTATGCGCTCAACGAGCTCCCGAGCCATCTGGATGATATGGGCACCCGTCAAACAAGTAACACCGGCCATCTCCATGGAATACCATCGAGAACCCTTCCGCATGACATAACCGTAGAAACTGTTCAAAATGACCTTATGGGCGAGTTGTAGAGAGTCAAATAAGATAATCATCTTCTTCGCTTCGTCGATCTCAGCTGCAGAGGCTCCAGAAGATACCAAAGAGTCGGTCTTATTCTTCCAAACCTTTTGCTGGCCTTTGAAATCATAACGTCGATCACGGAAGCTGCGCACCGTATCGACGTAGAAAGGATTTTCTCGCTGGCAGATAATCGCTTCTCGCACCATAGTCTTGCTGTCGTGGATCTTATGGTAGATCTTTTTGCTGTAGTCTTGTAGCCGTTTCTTCACGATGCCTGCTTGTTCCTCAATGCTGAGTTCTGCGAAGGACCGCATCAGCCCGTTCTTGTTTCGGCTGGGGAACCTTTCATTCCCAATCGCACGCTTGATCATGTTGTACTCATCGCGTTTGGCTGGCAAGAATTCACCGCGCCAGGCCCACGGCATTCGTCGATCGCAAGTTTTTCCAGGGCGATTGAAATCGCAAGCCGCACAGTTTGAGTCGTCGATCATGGAATCCGGTTGCAAACGGTTGGTAATCATGATATTGGGATACATGGAAGCGACATCCAAATGATAAATGAAAGGCACTTCGTTGCGATTCGGATTATTCCTCAGTTCGAGCAGTTTCTCTGCGATTTGAGCCCTGACTTCATCATAATTTGCAACATCTTCCATGGACTTCTTTTCTTCCACTTCAATACTGAACTTGAGGGCATGGTCAAGATCCTTCAGAAGCTCGTCGATGGCTGCTGGATCGACTGTGAAAGAGACAGGAATGTCACTTCGGAAAACACCTGCCTCAATACTTTCGACGTGTCCACCCACATAGGTTTGGGACTCGAGCAAGTGACCTTCGTAGAAAGACTCATGGGGATCTTTGTGCTTGTTTGGAAGAACAATTTCGTTCTGGTAGGCTTGTACCATGAGCAGCATCTCACACAAAGTTCCAGTTCCCTTGCGTAGGGTGTCGTCAGGATTGAGAGGAATGACGGTGCACAGAGAGAAAATGAAAGGATGCACATATTTCATGTACAGGTAGTATGTTGCAACAGCGTCGGAAACTGAATATTCCGCAAGAGTTTGGGGCCGCTCACTCGCATAGGGGGTCATGAGTTCTGGATCAAGTTCGTCTGGATCGTATCCAAGTTTCGCGACCGTCACGGCCTTCAGGCCACGACTTCCTTGGGGAAGATAACTGTCACGATTGACCCATGCGAAGCAATCCATATGAACACAGTTGTCAGCCTGGTAGATGTCTTCGCTGTTCTTCCTGAACCCGATTTCCATGTACATATCGATTCCATTGACGCTAGATCTCGCTTCGACGAAAGGCCAATCGAAAAAGTCACCGTTGTATGTAGCAATGACAGTGGGTTTGGCGATCTTGATATGCTCAAAGAAACGCTCCAATACCCCCCTTTCATTTGGCTCGTTGAAGATGATGAAGGGGCCACTGTATTCTGGCTTCGGTGTGTATTCGAAATCATTGATGTCCTCGGAGACGATCTCTCGGTTTGTAATGAGGAACCCTTGTCCGTCAATCATATATGAAATCATCATAATCTGATCGATGACGGCGTCGGGGAATTTGAGGGGGAGCTTGGTGGTTTCGATATCGAAGGCGAGGACAACAGGATCTGCACGTTGAAGTCGTTCTTCCAAACAAGTCAACTCTATCACACCATGCTTTGCTTCAACATTATACCACTTTCCAATTCGAATGTCTGAAATGCGTTAGTCAATCCAAAGGCACACATGAACGAAGCAGGAGCACAAACCCTTGTCGATCGACACTCGAACGTGATACGGAACATCATATTCTCTAATATCAACTATAAAATCACTCGCTTGTATGTTGCCGTTAGGTCGTTGCTCATTAAGTATTTCGTCGTCAAAAAGATCGAAGCCTGTAGCCGCACTATCGAAAATTATCAACACAAAATCAACCTTTTCCATACCGAGAAACATTCATACCTAGACATCTCCACATATGCGTCCATCATTGTGGAGTTTTTCTTGTTCTTCTCCGCTAGTGGAAGAATTGCTCTCCGAACCTCCAGTAGGTTGCCGACATTAGCGAAGTTCAATCGGAGGAAAGTCCTTCGGTGGCCGAGAAGGTGATTGGGGAGGTCCAAATCTTCCTTGTCGATGCGCTTGAAGCTTTTGATCAAACCCTCAAAGGATCTCCGGCACCACTCCTCAACCTCCATCTCAAAGCCTTTTTTGACCGCAAGAAGAAAGTACGGGTCATATTCCACAGTGGCTTTGAAACTACCCCCATCATCTTGAAGAAAGTAATAATCGACACCAGCACGACCTCCCTGCACATTTGAGTCCTCTATAGTCGTGCTGTGCATGTTGATAAGCCATCCTGCTCTTGTCTCGCCGGATTCGAATCGTGGGAAGCCGAGGGTTTCATCGATGCTGTTGGCCAAACGGATGGCCTCGAATTTCTCATCCTGTGAAGTTGCTTCGGTAGATCGTAGGGCTCCGAATTCGACAGTCTTGGTCCGTCTTGGATTGGATGAGGCCGCGCCTGATCGAAACTTATTGTTCCCATACTTGCTGGGCTTTCGTGTAGGCATTGCGACCCTTTTTTTTTTTGCCCGGCCGGGCTTCTCAAAGTAGGGCTGGCAGGGGACAGAACGTTAAGGGCATGGAAAATTCGGTAATGATTCGAGACAGGAAATCGAGAATCGGATGATCGAGAAGACGTGAGGTGACAGGGTTGGAGAGAGAGGCGTGTTGCTATGACGGATATGCCTTCCAGAGGGACCAGGCAATGCGCTCGCAAGTCCAGCCGATCTAAATCGCGATTACTCGACGCGTCCGCGCCCGCGCCAGAGCGCGCGAGGATTAGTCATCTCATTCGATCCGGAATAACTATCCCAAAGAGATTACCCCATCGGAATATCTTCATCTTATGCCCGGCCGATTTCATGGGCCGATTTGAGTCGAAGGTCAATCTACAAATCTACTGTTCACCCCGCAAGAATGGCAGACGATTCGAGGGAGCCAGGTCCTACACAGGAGCCCGGCAGTCATCTCCCAGCTAGCACTCCCTCCACCGATCCGAAGAAACCAAAACACGAATTCCCCCAGTCACAAGTCGGAAAGTTATGGGACGCCTTTGGCAACCCCGAGGAACCTCTCAATGCGCTCGCAAATGCGTCCTACAAACCACCGGGAAAGAACCGTGAAGATGTCTCCTACTCAGAAGTTATCGGCTCATTCTCGGCTTCTGAGCTTTCGACCTTCCACAAAGCCCCATGTGCTCGAGAGTCATTATTGACCGGAATTGGAGCCGGGTTTGGAATTGGTGGAATGCGAGCTGTATTCGGCGGTACGACCATTCGTGGTAGATGCCCGATATGTGAACAATCAACTAATAATCATATCTAGGGATGCGTTCGTTGTGGTCGGCCGGCAATTGGGCCGTCGGGATATTCGCCATCAGCTCTCTCGCCTCTTATGAGATCTGTCGACGGCGCCGAATCGAAGAACTGCACGGCATGACAGAAGCGGTTGGCTTGATGAAACAAGTCAAGGAAAAGAAACAACAGGAAAAGGAAAAGGCAGCCGCCGCGGCAGCGCAACGCGCCGAGGAGGAAAGACGCAAGAGTTGGACGAACCTTTCCAACTACAAATTCTGGTAGGGCTACTCAAGCCTCAAGTCGGAGTCAAAACGCCGTTGTCTGGATGTGTTCAAAAGACAATATATTTCAATTCTGTGCTAGGGTGGTTGGCATCATATCGTCAAGTCATCTCTGTGTATTATAGCTCTCAAATGTCCATATTGCTGGCCAAATCAATAGATCATGCAAAAATTCCCCTCCCATAACGCCTTAATCGATTGTACCGACGTAATGCGATCCCCCAAAATATAACTGCGAACCGGCTGTAGGTAAATGGCAGATAAGATGATATTTGTGTCCAGCTCATATGTCGAACTTGACTCGTTTTTGAATGGCGCCATTGTGTATACCTCGAATTGTGTCGAGATTCATGTCGTCATTCCTCCTTTCCCGTCGCTTTTCGCGAGCCTCCCGAGCTTCTCGGGTTTTCCATTCAGAAACTTGCCTTTGTCGCTTTTGGGAACGCGCCCAAGCCATTGCTGCTGTTGGTTTAAATCCAACTCCATTTATTCCGTAACCATCGTCAGTCGGATCCGACGGGTCGTGTCCAGTAATTTCATCATCATGCCACGTGAACGGGTCTTCTAAGTTGGCCTCTGTAAGTGGAGGAGAGAATCGTTGTTTGCGAGAAATTGAAGGCGAACCACGCTCTTGCTGCTTGCTGGGTGATGACGGAGACCTTCTCTTTGAAGGCGACTTTGTAGGTGTTGCCGGCAACTTGTCCTTCGTATCTGATATAGCTACTGGAAGCTGTTGGTGGTCTTGTATATGGTTGGATTCGTCGCTGCTGGGTGGCAGGGCTTCAGGCATAGTCTTCAACTCGTTTTGACACCCCACGCCGCATGGCTCCTCGGATGACAGCTTGTTCTGTTCTGTTTTCTCGTGGTTCGGATTGCCTGGGGACACTTGGCCCGACAGACGCTCTCCCCGAATCGCTAGTTTTCCGAACCGCCCCGCCACCGCCGCGCGAGGACTTTGTCGCCCTAGCTCGGAATCCTCACGTAGTCGAGCGTCCTGGAAACTCGCAGCCGAAGCTGTTGATATTGGTGATGCCGATGGACTGTAGAAATCTGACTCGGAAGGCTCTCGCTTGCGCTTAGGCGAGTAGTAACTAGGGATTTCCGTCGGCATCATCGCGGGGCTTAGCTTAGGGCGCGGCCAAAATTGTGGGGGCTTCGCAACGGATCAGCCCTAAAGATATCGTGTATATGAAAGTGCACTGTCAATCCAGGCCCCGTTTACCGATTAGTGAGGGCCGGGGAGTCCATGGTACAGAACTGCTCATCAAGAGTGCGGAGAGAGAGTAAGGTGAGGGGCTCGGCCATTGGACGCTCGGCTGGTTCTGCGATGCGGGAGCCAATCGATGGGTCAGTGACGCTGCAACTTTGAAGTGACTGTGCAATCCTTGGGTCAGGGGAAAGAAAATTCTCTTTACGCAATTAGTACAGGGCAGGTAGTATCCAGGTTCTTCGAGTGGTAACAGATTTATATTATCAGATAAAAGATCACGAGATAGAGCAAATCTTATTGCCGTGTAGAATGGCCTAAATCGAATAATTTACAGATCCCCGAGCCCATCGAGTCGTGAACAAGATCAAACATAGAAAGAAAAACCCAACGCCATGACAAAAGACTCCCAGTTTCAAGAAAAGCGCTTTTAAGACTTGTGCTTCTTCTTCGAAGATTCTCCATCATCACCGTGCTTGCGCTTCTTCTTCTTCTCGGACTCACCCTCGCCGACATCCGACTTGCGCTTCTTCTTCTTCTCGCTCTTGTCAGCCTTCTCGCTCTTCTTCTCCTTCTTCTCCTTCTTGTCCTTCTTCTCCTTCTTCTCCTTCTTGTCAGCATCCTCCATCTCCTCGTCGCTGCCATCAACGTCGACATCAATGCCAGCAAGGACGGCATCCATGGCGGATTTCTGTTATATCGGGTTAGCATCCTATCTATAATGTTCAATTTTTGATAGTCTAGACATACCATAGCAACCTCGTTCTTAGTGGGCGCAGCACCGGTGGCGTAGAAGTCCAGACGCTCCTCAACTTGCTGCTTGAGAGCCTCACCAAACTTAGTGGTGGGGGCCTCAGAGAAGTTGTCGATACGAGAAGCAATAGAGCACTTGTTGGCGAGGAATCGAGAGATGCGACCCTTGTTCTTGGGACCGGCACGGCCAATGAAAGAAGAGTGGTACAGCAAACCATACTTGGGGGTGTTACCCTTGGTCTTCAGAGCACGGAAAAGAGCCTTCTCAGCACCGAGAATCTGGACGGTGGAGGCAGGGTACTTGGACAGGTTGGTCAAGCTACCAGCGTGCGAGATCAGACGAGCACCGACGACCTCACCAATCAGCGCAGCCAGGTTGGGGGCGACAACGCTCATCTTGGAGACCAGGTATTGGTAAAGCTCCTTGCGGTACTTAGCAAGGCTGACAACACGCTCGGCAAAGGCAATGACGTTCTCCATGTCGGATTCACCGATCTCCTGGCCCATACTGTGCTTGGCGGCATCGATGACGCTCTGGGCAATATCCTTGTCATCCTCCACGAGAGCGGCAATGTCGTGCAGGTGATCATCATTCAAGTTCTTCTTGTCCTTGACGAAGAGTGCGATCTGGGCGTAACGCTGGTTGTCCGAGACAATCTTGTACAGTTCGGGGAAGTGCCACGAGTACCACTCACGAACACGCATGGAGAAGGTGTTAATGGCCTTGTCAAGTTGGTCAAGGATGGCGATGGCCTGAATGATGTGGTTGTCGTCACGTTGGACGGAGAACTTGACCTTAGCGCGGGAGTAGGCGTGACCCAGACCAAGCTGGGCGGTATCCATGTCGCCCTCGCGGAGCTGGTTCAGCAGCTTGGCGAAGTGCAGACGGATGCCACGGAGAAGATCCTGGACAACCTCGCTGGTGTCACCGGTTTCACACTCCACGAAGGAGAAGGCGGACTTGATGCTACCGGCGAGACCCTTGTCGCAAAGGCCGAGAGTGACCTTGCCCTTCTTGTTGGGCTTGGGGAGGTTCAGTTCGAGGAAAGAAACCAGAGTCTCTGAGGCAACACCTTCAGAGATATCGTTGATTTCACCGAGAGCCTGCTTGTTGTTTCTAGTGGGCGTTAGTAAAATGATTTTCATCGGATGGAAAATTCACATCCTAGCGACTCGGCGCGCAAAACGTACTCGAAAGGCAGGAAACTAGCGAGTTCAACCATCTTGCCGAACTTGGCAAGGTCATTGACACCAGATTGAACCTCCTTCAGGCTATTGCCCACAATATCACCCTTCATGGTGTTCTTGAAGAGCGAGTAGCCCATAGGGCTCTCGAAGAGAAGAAAGTCGGCCATTGTGTTAATCCAGGGCCCAGGTCGAGCGCAAAATTTGACCGGGTTATGTTTTCAGCGACGGACGCCCAGGAAGAATCACTATTGCGATTCGGGGTGGATTGCTGGAACGGACGTTTTTCGTTAGGGCGGAAAGGCCTTTCAGAGATGAAGTTCGAAATCCGAGAGGGAGCTCTTTTTTTTCGCCGCTAGTGCGAATCGGTCGTGTGGGCTTTTTGCCAAAATTCCTCACCGCTCTCATCCTCGCCGCCGACCAACGCGGGCATCCAAACTCCTGTGAGCCAACCAGCTCCCCCTATACCATTATCTGTTCTTTTCTATTGGATTGAGCTCTTGTTCACTCCTTTTTAATCTACAGATATGTCGGCAACCCAGCTGCTGAACCCCAAGGCCGAGTCCCGGGTATGTATTGATACCCCCTCTGCCAGACTGACCCCTCAATGGCCCGCACTAACATTTTATCTAGCGGCGAGGAGAGGCCCTCAAGGTTAACATTGCTGCTGGAGAAGGTCTTCAAGATGTTCTCAAGTCCAACCTGGGTCCCTCGGGTACCCTGAAGATGTGAGTAAAATTCCCTGTTGCGAAAATTGACCGTAATCAAGCTAACAAGATTTCTAGGCTGGTCGACGGTTCAGGCGGAGTACGCTCGATATCTCCCTTCCCTCTATAACCCCTCATTGCGATCATTCTAACATGGAGTCCTTCCAAATAGATCAAATTGACAAAGGATGGAAATGTTTTGCTGCGTGAAATGGTTCGTTGAGATCTTGGGAATCCCCCACAAGGCCACACCGAACACTGTTGCTAACATTTTGCAGCAAATCCAAAACCCCACAGCTGTAAGACGACATTGCCTCGAACGACCCCTCGAATCTCGCTGATAAATTTGAAAGGTCATGATCGCCCGTGCGGCGACAGCACAAGATGATATCACTGGTGATGGCACAACGTCGGTTGTGCTCCTGGTGGGAGAGCTCCTGAAGCAGGCGGATCGTCATATCACAGAGGGACTACACCCCCGAGTGATCACTGATGGTTACGAGATTGCCAAGGATGAGACCTTGAAGGTATTTTTTCCAAAATAGACAGAGGTGATTAGTGCTCGGATCTAACTCTTTGACTCCCCCAGTTCCTTGACCAGTTCAAGCTCGAGCGTACCGTCGACCGCGAGCTGCTCCTTTCCGTCGCTCGTACTTCCCTTTCCACCAAGTTGAACCATGCCCTGGCTGAGAAGCTCACCCCTGATATCGTTGACGCCGTTCTCGCCATCCACCGAGCCCCCGAAAAGCCTGACTTGCACATGATTGAGATCATGACGATGCAACACCGCACATCATCCGAAACCCGCCTGATCCGCGGTCTCGCTCTGGATCACGGTGCCCGTCACCCGGATATGCCCAAGCGTGTGGAGAATGCGTTCATCCTGACATTGAACGTCAGTCTTGAGTACGAGAAGTCCGAGATCAACTCTGGATTTTACTACTCTTCTGCCGAGCAGAGAGACAAGCTGGTGGAGAGCGAACGCAAGTTTGTCGATGCTAAGCTGCAGAAGATTGTGGATCTTAAGAAGCAGGTGTGCGGCAATGACCCCAAGAAGGGCTTCGTTGTCATCAACCAGAAGGGTATTGATCCCCTCAGCTTGGACATTCTGGTCAAGAACGGCATCATGGCTCTCCGAAGAGCCAAGCGTAGAAACATGGAGCGTCTGCAGCTGGTGTGTGGAGGTACTGCTCAGAACAGTGTTGAGGAAATGACCCCGGATGTGCTTGGCTGGGCAGGTCTGGTTTATGAGCACCAGCTTGGTGAGGAGAAGTTCACATTCGTCGAGGAGGTCAAGGATCCCAAGTCCGTGACTATTCTCATCAAGGGCCCCAACCAACACACCATTGCTCAGGTTAAGGATGCCGTGCGTGATGGTCTTCGCTCTGTCTACAACTCGATTGTTGACGGCTGCGTGATCCCTGGGGCCGGTGCCTTCCAGGTTGCTTGTGCTGACCACCTGAAATCGGAGGTCCTGCGCAACACCAAGGGCAAGGCCAAGTGGGGTGTTGAGGCGTTCGCTGATGCTCTTTTGGTCATTCCCAAGACTCTGGCTGCCAACGCCGGCCACGACATCCAGGACTCTCTCGCTGCCATGCAGTACGAGCGTAAGGATGGTAACATTGTCGGTCTGGACTTGAACACTGGCGAGCCTATGGATCCCGTGCAAGAGGGTGTCTTCGACTCCTACCGGGTGCTTCGCAACTGCATCGCTTCCAGCACTGGTATCGCGTCTAACCTTCTTCTGTGTGATGAACTGCTGAAGGCTCGCCAGATGAGTAAGGCTAGCGGCCCTGGCGGCATGGAGGAGTAATGCATTCAATGACGATACTCGGTGGTTTCATGTAAAGAATTAGATGGACCGGGCTTGATGGTTTGGGTGTTTCAAAGATTCTAGTCCACAAAAATGCACACAATAATTTTCACACGAGACCTGGGGCTTTTAGTGCATTAATTGTGATAGAGGAAATTCTTGTAAATCACTGAGATAAATGTCTAATCAGGTCGATTCTAGCGGCATATGATGCCTTACGGTTCGAACATCGCAGCGCACGTAACGCACATTTATCATTATGATCATCATCGCTAAAAGGACTATTATTACATTACATGACAAGCTCATCAAGCTCATCCGTCTGCCTCAGTACTGCTCTCAATCTGACCAGAGATAGCCAACGGCAGCCATTCTCCCAGGAAGCCCTCCTCTTTCACCGGGTCCTCTAAAGAAAGGTGGTTGGTATTCGCCCATTCCTTCACGTCTGACATTCGAATGATCATTGTGGGGCCTTTGTCAGGTTCATCATCTCCGGTGAGTCGAGGTAGTTTTCGTTTTTTAGGAGATGTGTCGGGCTGAAGAACACCCATGAACTTTACCGCCGTGATGACATCTTCAGTCAGCATTCCGGTAGCAAGGCCAATGTTTTCGACAGTCACAAACTCTCGTGGAGGGTTCTTCCGAGCTGATTTTGAGGGACTGGATTTCCGAGGAGAACTGTCAAGCTTGTTGTCGGGACGCTCCTCACAAAGCAAGTACCTTGCAATTCGCTCGGCCCAAAAGCGGTTATAACTCTTCTGCCCTAGGTCGCTGAGGGGCTTCTCTGGTCCACCAATATATCCACCGGGGGCTTCCCACCCACTGAGTTTGTAGCTCACTCCCATCAGTAACTTTCCAAGCTGCTTATGTTGATATGGCGGAAAGACACAAATACAAGCGAGGTTGTTGGCGTCCCAGGAGAGCTTTTCTCGGGAGTAGAAGCCGAGAACGTGGTAGTTTTCCGAGTTGGTTGGGTCGGTGAAGGTGAGGATATAGTAAAGGAAAGTCGCTACATCAAAGAAGACGGTCTTGTGGTCGAGAAATAGTTTGGCAAATAGTGACAGGTTTTGTCCGAATAGTTTATGTTCTTCTCCATCGACTTCCCATACGGCGTAGCCGCCGTGTTCATATACTTTGTTGCCTGGTGGTGTTATGCGGTTTACACACGCTCGTGTGTGTTCAGCAAAAGCGACTGTCTCACATGAATATCTAAAGCACCAGCGGCATACGTAGAGGCAATCGGCGTCCTTGGCGACAAGGTCTTCCGGGTAAATGGACTGGTACCACGGGGTAAAAAGGAGATCTCCCAGCACAACATTCTTCACATTGCGGTCGCCTGGACTCTGAAGACGCGATGGGGGTTTAGCGGTAGCCATTGGTGCGCGTCAATATAAGATGTTTGCGCGGTGCACGTCTCCCGGCTTAAGTTGTCCTCTGAAGGTAGATTTCAAAACATCAGGCCAATGGCATCACCGCGTGAGCAATTGATGGGCTGAAATGCGAGGACCGGAGAGATAGGTTTGCGCCGACATTGGCGACTATGTGGGCGTTGGAGCAGCGGCGGGATCCGGGCTAACGAGGTGAAAGCTTGTAGATGAACAATACCTGTGACATTTTGAAACGTGACTCCAAACCTTGGCGCGTCTGTCACACTTTCGCGTGTCACGTGTTTCTGGGTGGGGGGGGGCCTGTATCTTATCCGGCTGCCTGGAATTTGGATGTACCAACGAGGTAAAGAGTACAAGGCTGCTCTGAGGTCATCCCTGAGTCTGCATCCTTACATTTCCATCTTCTTGCCTCCCAGAAATTTTGCAGGCAACAGGAATACTTTTATCTTATGGTACTTGACGTTGCTGTCTCATCCTCTCGTGATTCCCCAAATCATTTGGGAACTCATCACAACTTTCCCGCCTCCAGCCAAACCGCGAGAAGCGTCCCCACCCGGTATTATACATACCCCGGGGCTCTCTGGGTCCTCTCTCACCACAATGTTGAAGCCCTTCCGGATCAGGGATCTCCATAGATCTGCATCCCGAGTTCAGGAGGAGCCCTCGGATCGTTCCAACAGCGCGGTTCAGATCTCAGCTGTCGACTATGATCACCTCGCCTCAACCTATCCCCGAGCAAGACTTAGTTATCTTGACGACGACGATGATGACAATATTGAGGTAAGATATCATTCTCCTTCAATCTCGATCAGCTATTTTACTCACATATACTGCCTATAGGTCGGATCCTCGCTAGAACTGTCCCAGCGCCTCGATGAACCCGTTAACGTCGAAGCAATCCAACTCTCCAGAAATGACCCGACACCCATGCATCTCTTTGACATTCGTCGATCCAACTCGGTCACCGAGCTGTGGAAGCGATTCGAGAAGCAAGATTCCGACACTCCCGGGACAGATGGAGTGAAAAGCAGCGTTGTTACTACGGAAGAATACTCCAATGATAAGCCTGCCAGCAATCAAGCACCAGCTACCTTGAGCACTGCATCGGTTTTTACATCCGGTGAGAATCCTCTGTTGAGTGGATATGAGGCCGAGCTTGCAAATCTAGCCAGCCATGCCCGCCCATACCTACCGAAGGGCTCGCAGCCAACTTCCTCGGCCGATGCTGGGCCAAATGCTCCCGGTGTAGCTACAGAGGAATCGCAGCCGCTCATGGCAGCATTCGAGGCCGAATTAGCGAGCCTTATGGGCTCTACGGATGACTCTACCACCAGAGGTCAGCAAACAGCGTCATCGCCCCAGTCAGATCATGGTACAGACTCGACCTCGCAACAAACTCCTCACCCTGTCGAGATCCTTGCAGCCCAAGTCATCACCCATCTAGCAAATGGCGCTAATATGGTCCACTCGGAATTCGCCGCAAGATTGCCAGAACTGCAGCGTCAGTTACACGATGCGCGAGAACAGTTACGAGATGCGCAGAGAACTCTACCCGAAAATGTCAGAATGTCGCTGCATACTCTTCTCGCCACGATTGAAGCTCAGATGAAAGTTGCACTGGGTAGTCTGCCTACAGGAGGGCGTCAATTTGCAGAAGAAGCATTACACGCTGGAAGGCCCGTGGCCGAGAACGCTGCAGATGGATTTCGCACGATTGCCTCTGACTTTAGTGAGTTCGGGAAGTCATTATACGCTGCGTTCGAAGAGGAATTTGGACGGGCTGTCTTTGCACCCATAATTAGGAGCCCTAGTGCACCTAGCACCACTGGTGCTGCGGCCTCATATTCTGCAAATGATTGTCCTCCTCCGTCAGAATCTACCTCTCAGAACGCTGAAACACAGCCCATGGACTCGAAAAGAGAAGTTCCAGTTGCTGGTCAAACCCCGGTGTTTACTCACGAAACTATTAATGCTTCTGCCGTGCCATCGGAACCTGAGAATTCCAAGCAAGGTGCCCAGGCGGATAGACACTTTCCCCTCCGTTATCACCGAGGCCCTCATGTACATATGAGACCTCCGCATTCCGGAAGCCCACCCCAATGGGTTGGTCCACCCCCACATCCAGCCCATTGCGGACATCCTCCGCCTCCCCCCTTCTGGCCATCTTTAGGCCATCTGCCATGGAATTTCCCTCCTACTCGCCATGGTTACCACCATCCAGTACCTCCGCCCCATCCTCGCCCACCTCCTCCGCCACCATACCCAGGCCGATGGCCCGTTCCTGACTCCTTTGGTCATTTATTCAACACACCCAACAACCATCACAACAAAAACCATCCATCCAGTGTGGATATTCCTTCGAAGCATGCTGATCTGCGGCCAGAAGGCGAGAATAAAACATTGTTCATTGGGAATATCGGTTTCAATGTGTCAGAAAAGATGATCGAAGATGTCTTCGCTTCGAAGGGATTTATCGTGAAAGTTGACCTTCCGTTGGATGCCACTTCGGGTAAACACGCGGGCTTTGGATACTTGCATTTCCCATCAAAGTATCCAGCCATGGCTGCAATAGATGCACTTCAAGGTGAACGTATTGATGGCTATGCGATCAACCTCGAGTTTAGCGAGAACGCACCTATTGAGAACGTCCTCGCAACATCCAACTCGAACTCCGATGGGACTCCCCATAATGATGTGCAATTTGGCCCCAAGCAAACCAACTCCGGCTCTCTTCGACAAAATGGCTCCATCAAGCGGCGGAAGTCTGTTTCTTTTCGAAGAGCCGACCTCGCAAATGGAAGAGGCTAGCAATATCAACTCGTCAAATGTTCCTCCTCGAGTTGGATCGCCTCAGCTGATTGATCTATCATTTGAAGACGCTTCTGGCTCCGCTTGCGACTCCTCGCGTCAAGTGAAGAATGATTCAGAACATGAACAAGCCAATGAAGACGAAGCCTTTTCGAATTTCAATCCCGAGAAAGAAATGAGTCGATTCCCGCCTGTCTCTCAGTTAGAAGCACAACTTCTCGCAAAGCATCACCAAGATCGTGCCACTCCTGCGAGTATACATAGTGATCCAGCCATGGAATCCCCTCTGCGAAGATCACTTAATACTTCTAGTGTTCATGAGATACGCCCCCTTGTCCACCCTTCTCTTGAGGAAATGAGGTATGACTCTGGCCAACCAAATCCTTCTGCTTCGGTGGGAACACCTCTTCGTCGTTCGAGTACCATGGTGTTCTCGCACCCCAGGCTCCAGCATCCTGTTCCCTCGGATGATGCGACCTATCCCAGATTGAAGCGACATGCATCCGAGCGGCATAGCCTTCGGCCGAGTACCGAAACAGATACCTGGGCAAGGCTTGACAGAAGGGAACGCCGCCGCTCGAGGCCGTTGTCCGAGCAGAGCATTCCCGGAAGCTTCCCTGTTGGGGAAACAACTCAACCTTCGGCTAGTCAGGAACCTGAAGGCCTCAATACATCTGAAATCGAGGCTTGCGTCTCCTCTCTTATCGATATGGGCTATGGCACCGCCGAAGAGGGTGGACGGTCTCGGATGGCAGTGTATGCAGCTGCATCAAATGGCAGTCTTCTCGACGCCATTGAAATGATCGAGGAGGAGAGGAAGGTGTATGCCAAACACGATCAGGTTTAAAATGGAAACTGAACTCCCTTTATTTGCTCTTTTTTCTCCCGACCGAGTCGCTCTTTGTCGCTCCTGAAGCCTTACAATCTTTCTACGCTTTATGACACCAAGCTCTTACAGACCCTAATATGTTGCGAATTTCAAGCTTAGCCAATCTCAACTTGGATTATTTGACGTTATTAAATCGGATTTGTATTCCTCTCGTATCCGTAACCCCTCACCATTTACTAAAGAGGAACAAACAACTTGAACCCTTTCGTTTAGCTTAATGGCCTCTTACATGTACTCTTATCTATCTACCTTGTACCCTACCTGCCTTAGAGGTACCTTAGGGCGGCTGATGCGGAGTTGCGACGCGGACCCACTGCCCCGTCATTTTTCCAGCCCGCAACCTCCGCTCATCAATCACACACCCTTCCACACCATCGCAACACGGTTCCCAGCCATGCAGACATGGCGGCGGACTTTCGCCACATCTGTCGCAAGACTAGGCTCGAGTACAATATCTAGTCCACGTCCGGCTATCCTTCGATGCGCACAGATCCTCCAGAGCAGCAAGCAAGAGCAGCCCTGCAGCTTGGAGGACCAGGAAATCAAAGTCAATGGATTCATTCGCTCTGTTCGCAAACAGAAGCGCTTTGCTTTTGCGGAAATCTCTGATGGATCGACTATCCAGCCATTGCAGGCAATCTTAAAACCAGCGCAGGCAGCTGAGTATGTCAATCCGCAAGAGCTATAGCTCGCTGCCACCACGTTGAGAACGAGGTCTAACACGGTCGCGTTTCTCCCCACTCTAGCTTATCCACTGGTACTGCAGTTCAAATATCGGGAATATGGAAGGCCTGTCCACCCGGAAAGGAGCAGACCCATGAGCTTCAAACAACTGACGTGACCGTGGTCGGCGCGTCGGATCCAGAGGTATGAACTCGACCCCACACACGACGGACTGTATTCTAACCATGATGTCTCTTCCCACAGACCTTTCCCATCCAAAAGAAATACCACAGTCCCGATTTCCTGAGACAGATTCCCCATCTTCGTATCCGGACACCGTTCCAATCACTGCTCTCGAGATTCCGTTCAGAATGCCTATTCCAGATCGGCAACGTCTTCCACTCCTTTCCCAATGGCGGCTTCGCACAAGTACAACCTCCCATAATTACGTCTTCGGACTGCGAAGGAGCAGGAGAAACGTTCACACTAGCTCCTCGGGGCTCTGCGACGCCGGATGTCGATGGGGACCACTTTTTCCGCGCACCCAAGTACCTGACTGTGTCATCGCAACTACACCTTGAGGCATATGCCGCAGAGCTGGGCAATGTGTGGACATTGACGCCTGTTTTCCGTGCAGAGAAGAGCGACACGCCGCGGCATCTCAGCGAGTTCTACATGCTCGAAGCGGAAGCAAACTTTATGGACGACTTGGATTCGCTTACGGGCGTGGTTGAACATATGCTTCGCGATTTGACACGCCGACTATACGAGACAACTGTTGGACAAGAAATTTTGTCAGCCAAGCGCAGCGGCGAGTCTGGGCAGGATGGTTCCTCCGATGAGTCGAAGTCAGATCTGCGTCAGCGGTGGGCCACCTTGATGGATAGTCCCAAGTGGCCTCGTATCACATATACGAAAGCCATTGAAATGCTTCAGCGAGCTGCTGCTGAGGAAGGTGCCTCGTTTGAATACCCTCCCACATGGGATGGTGGCCTTCAGCTCGAGCACGAAAAGTACATTGTTGAAGTTTTGCACCAGGGCAACCCGGTCTTTGTGACCGATTATCCGAAATCCGTCAAGCCATTCTACATGGCACCCTCGCAGGTTGGAAATGAGACTGATGATACACCGGGAGCGACCGTTGCCTGCTTCGACCTGCTCCTGCCCGAGGTCAGCGAAGTCGCCGGGGGTTCCCTGCGTGAGCATCGTCTGCCTGAACTTATCCAGAACATGCGCGAGCATGGTTTGATCAAGACCCGCGAGTCTACTGACCCTGAGGAGCCAACTCCCAATGAGTCTCTATACCCCCATCTTGCACCGACCGAAGACCTCGGCCATTTACAGTGGTACGCGGATCTTCGCCGCTGGGGCACCGCACCTCACGGTGGCTTTGGACTTGGTTTCGATCGGATTCTCAGTTATCTGGCTGGCGTCTCTAGTGTTCGGGATGTGGTCCCATTCCCGCGGTATTTTGGCCGAGCGGATTGCTAGTCTGGCTTTGGTGAAAAGTGTAAAATATAAAACTGCCAGTGTATTATAGACATGGAATTTAAACATCCACCGAGATGCCACATCCTTTGACCATAGTGACACCTAGGAACGGGCTTGCTTATTCCATCAACTACAACTGCCGAGAGAAAACGGCGATTACTAGTATGTTCGCTCTGGTATCATTCGCTGTATTCAACCCCATGGCCCTGGAATTGTACAAGAATCCGCCTTTACGCACGTAAACCACCACGATGAATGATTACGCACGTAGCAGATTCCAAGTTGGTATAGGTATATCGCATCAACACAGTCATCGTCTCACTTGAGCGCCCTTGCACGGCACGGCGCTCCGTCCCACCCCTGAATTTGACACGATGCGGTTTACTCGACTAGTAATTCTCACCCCAGGCGACCAGCACGCTATTCCCGAAGGCAAGGAGTGCGAGGTGCAGTGGAGTTACACCTGCAATTAGAGCTGCATCGCCCCCGACCCCCAGGCTGATAGTTGGGGCCAGGGGGCCATCTTCCCGCTCCTGGACTCCGGAAAGAGTTTAAATCATCGACCAGGAAGGATCGTAATACGATTGGGGGCGAGACTTCGGAGATCCCGAATCGACTCCAGACTCAGGCGCCCGGATTGAACAGGATCTAGGTACTACGTTAAGGCAACTAGGGCTGCGAGAGGGGGCCGGAAGGAATGCAGGATTAAAGACTGGCCAAGCCTTGCCAGGGTCTCAAACCTGGAATATGTACTATACTCTGGAAATGGTGCATTCGAGGGCGATACTTGGCGTGAGAGGCATACAGTATGTGCATACCTACTCCATTACTCACTCGCTCGCTCCTTTTGACTTTTTTGTACTCCGTACATAGTATGTTATGTCACAAAGTACGTGAGATCAGCAAACTTCGGTACGAGTCATTCTGGATGAAATCTACGGGATTAGTTGAGTGGCTGAAGACAGCTAAATTACTCTTCAAACACGCGCAATTCGCAACTGTACAACACGGGGAGTAAGTATAGATGACCAGTCGAGTTCCGTTATGCACCGGCTCTCGGACCGGTCCAAGCCAGGCCAAGCACTCTAGTGTGGTTGGAGGCGTCCGCATGTAAACGCAAAAAACCGGGGCAGCCCAAAGGGACGTCGATGCTATCCGGCGCAACCGATACTTAGTAAAGCCAGAATGCGAATGCGAGCCTAAAGGGGGTCGAAGGGGGGGGGGGGGGTCGGCGGAGGACTCCGTCTGCTCAAAAACGTGGTCCGTGGGTCTCCGGGTCTCTCTATCTCTATCTTTAAGAAACACACTTTATTTAGCTGGATCAATTGCGGAGCTCGCTTAAGGCTGCCGAGTCGTATCTTCTCAGATTGAGAGACCTTGACCTACTGGTATGTACTCCGTACATACGAGGGGAAAGACGAGTGGGGCTTTGTCTCACGAATTATGTATCAATCTAACTTGTTAGTCTTAGCGATGCCGAGAGACAAGAAATTCAATATACGATTTAGGTATTACCTTGCCTGGGCATGCAGGAATTTGAGTACGCCTGGTGGCCTTATAGGCAGAACCAATATTATTAGTAGTAACTCTCATCAGGGGCTCTAATTGTCCTTAACAGCCTCACCAAGAACGAGAGAGGAGGGGGGGGAACACAGCCTTGGGGAATTTTCCTTTTAATCTAACAAAGTTTACGAGGGGGCCAGCCCTGTGATACCAATCAGGAGGCCAGGATCGGCGAGCCAAGGGGACCCAACCTTACCGGGGTTAAGCATAAGCACGAAAGAAGTTCGGGCAGTGTCCGCTAGACGAGTCATGCAGCCGGGGGGTTATCCTAGGGTATCCCTGATTCGACGTATCACATAGGAGGATTCTGTAGGCAGGTTTTTACAGAGTGTAAAATGTTCAGTATGTAAGCGAGAGAGATCGATTGCATGGCAATGTACTTACATGATATCGTATATTTAGTGGGACACTGTATCTTCCATACTCCACCTGGACATTAGGATGGAGCCATGTAGTATTCTCTGTACCAGGCCGAGCCTTCGTATTATCTTAGCCACACTCGCAAGTATTCGTATTCGGCTGTTAAACTCCCCGAACGCATAAACTCAAACCCCGTGCGCCACATGGTTATGCTGATTCATGTAAGACACCGGTCGAGTGGATTACTGTCGGGCCATTGCGCCACTTTTGGTTAACATTAAGTGCAAGATTACCTTCTGTGGGTTTCTGTGGGAAAACATGGCGCGGTTTGCCCCATAAACTGATCTTACTTCCATGGTTCAGAAGGGGCACGCTGGATTTTAGGCTTGCCGAGTGACAGTTGCCACCCCAGAGCACCGACCGGGCCAAAAACTGGGGCCTAAGGAGCGAAAGGCCTCAGCTAACGTCTTGGCGGAGGCTAGGCACCTTTTACGACGCAGATGTGCGTTCTTGGCTTCTAAAGAGGGAGGGGGTTCAAGGAAGTAGAACTCCAGCAGCCAAGATAATCCCTCTGTACGGAATAGCCCTACGGGAAGACATGCAAAACTATGAACATTACAGATCGGAGGCGACCGAGTCATTGGTGGGAAATAACGACAGAGGCTACTAGTAGACATGCTGTGCTGCTGTAAGAGCCTGGGAGGGCAGGGGAGGGGGCTTGTTTGAGAATTGGCATCCTTAGGGCCAAGCATCGTATCCTCTTTAATTATTTTTCTTTTGGGATTCCACTTTAAATAGGTATAATGCATATTCCCACCTGGGCACCTAGGCACGCCCTTGGTAGTATGTACTAGGAAATCCTTGCGAGAAAATGGATCTGGGATCCTCCCAGCACATTCCCCATTCATCCAAGCGATAATCATAGACACCTTAATTATGTTAGTGGAGATAAGCTCGTGCGACGTTTCACGAAACCAATTCTTGGCAACCTTTATTTCCCTTCTGCAATGAAAGGATGACAATACGAAAACACGGTCGTAAGCATATCTAAAGTAAAGTTGGGAATAACGCCAATTAGGGTGCGCCGGACTCATGTAAGGGCACGTCATCGCCCCGAAAGGGCTCCCGGGGCCGCTGCTCTTTGGTGGAGAAGGAGGGGCGATGGGCACAATACAAGTACAGTAGTGTGTCTGATCATCGTTCCGGCAGTTTCTAATCCTATCGCATAGCGTAAATGATTGACAACCCACATTGGCTGTTCAGGCAGACAGTTTTTTTCTGGTACGAAGCCATTGGAGACAAAGATCACCTGGCACCGAAATATTCAGATATGTGGCTTTTTTGAGAGTACATACCTAGGTACGGAGCACCTAAAAGTGTACTCCGTAACGATCAGTCCGAGTCGGAGATTATTAGGCTGCAGTTGTGGAATACTCCGTACGATGCCCAAATATCGAATTCTGTGTAGCCTGCATCCAGCATGTCCATATGTACATTACTACCTTACAAGCATGCGTACAAACAGCCTGAATGAAATGTATGTGACTAGGATGGTCATGTAAAGCAAGTCAAGTGCGAATAAACCCCTACGCACGACCCCCCTCTCAATATAATACGAGGGAATACAATAATAACAATATTGGCTGCATTTACGCCCCCGACTTGCTCTCGGACATAAGGGCCAAGAAAGGCCCGCACCCTGTGGAGCCTCCAAACGCATTGCCCTTGATTATCAGCTGGATCACGGAGTACAGATGAAAAAAAAGAATGCATAAGCCTGGAAAATAAAAGATAAAATAAAATAAAGGGCGCGGCTCCACTGTCAGCCCGAAACCAGAAACTAGAAACCTCGCTAGTACGCAGAAGCACCAGTTGCAGAATCTAATGAACCACGGTCGGCAAAGTAGTCTGTCGGCTTGGCCCGCAAGGGCCTGGCTCTACCTACCCTATGGCGAGTACAGACTCTACATTTGTTATGCTTAGCGAGCAGTGGAGCCAAAATGTTTAGGCTAGATCCACCAAAGGAGTTGCACCGGATGATCGGATAGACTTGACTTGACGGGGAGCCCGAGGACCCCGAGCACTTCATAACTCATTATTCAATATGGACCTCAGGAACAGATGAACTTGAAATCATCCATGGATGATTTCAAGGGATCAGAGTCGTTCATTGTATTACGTATACAAGCCTGAACATAACGGGCATCTTGATTTCCTTGGTAGCCACAAGTTGCCACATTGCTGATCCCTGGAGCGGACACAGACCAAATGACAAACTAAATATATCCCAACATACTAGTGTAGTAGTAACGACCAAATCACATTATCTTAAATCAGCAAGGAGTGCGGCGGGAAGGACGGATGTATAGGCGGGCTGGGTGATCCTCGCAGAAATAACATGGCAGCCAGCTGATCATAGAGCACTCGACATATCTCGCACATGGCCCCGAACATCATGTAAGGGAGTAACATGTGGTGCCTTTAGGCATGATGTTTGTTAGATACAGGGAAATCGAAATGTAATACTACCGCAGTAGTGATGTGCCAAGCTGATGGGAATGGGCGGGCTGATCGTAATCGATTGTTATCGGATAGATCTGCTGCGTGAGACCGACCTTGGACCCTGTTTCTACGTATCTGCCTTGTTCCAAAGAGCGTGCCATTTGTTGGAAAAATATTTATCATGTCAGTCCAGCTGACCACTTTATGAGCATTTGTTTTATTTATTGGCATTCTACTTTTTTTTAGTTTGTTTCATGTGCCCAGGTGGATGCATGTAATCTCAGTGTATTTGAAGATACTACTAGTACATAGTACTACCCGTACGCATAAAAGTGGTTCCCATGTTTATGTCAACTAACCTTAAGAGTCATGTTTAAATCCGATGCCCAGGTTCTGCTCATTCATTGTATGGGAATTCTGTCGGCAATTCCCCTCTAGGTCAACAAAGTAGTGCGACCGTCTTTCGCATCCCTCCACCAGGTCAATGGAATTCCAGGTCACCACGATGATGTCAATGTCACACTAGTTGGTGCCATGTGAGACATCTGATGCAGGCCATAGCCAAACGCGCAGTCTGAGCAAAGATAAACCTGGCTGACCCAAGAATGAGTACCATGTACGGAGTACGGAGTACAGAGTGCTGCACCTCTCGAATTCGAAACACATTGACCCCCTTCATCGTTCACGGTACATAGTAACAATTCGGTAGTATAATTTCATTCACAAAAGCTCTCTACATATAAGACAGGTTAATGCCAAGAGCTGCCAGCCTCCGAACCCTAATGTAGTGCGCTGTGCAACCGGTCTTTGTTGGCGATACGCTTTCACTGGGTCTCTGGGTCTCGGTCCGTGCGCGAGTTCATTGAATCAAGAAGCTTTGCGCGACCTTGCGCCTTTCGACGTAAGTGTATCGGGTGCTTCGGCTATGTAGCTCCACCATTGGTTGAGTTTGTCTTTTTTCTTTCTTTTTTTCTTTTTTCCTTTTCTGATTTGATTCGATTTCTGGATGGAAAAACGACGAGACTTTCCTTAATACGATCGAACCCAGCCACCTGCAAGGTGGTCTATAAGGCTCGGTGCATTCTGCATTGTCAGTGGCAGCGGGAAAATTGACAGCCGCTTAACCTTATCGCTGAGTCTTGTTTGACTCAGCGACCATGATCTCCAAATCAGGATATACGGCTGGCGTAAGATGGTCATGTACATACGATGGGGCCAGTAATACTGCGAAGCGCTCCTAATACTACTCCATGCTTCGTACTCCATACATACAACTGAATTACCTATTATGGGTCGTTGATTGCTCTGGTTTGCGTGCGGAGAAACGCAAGCACATACTGCGTTTGACCTAAAATAAAATTAAGACTCACTCCGTATTGGGTAGTTGAATTACGTGGCATCTAAGCTTGTCGGCCGTGCATCCCCATCCCACGTAAACTTAGACATGGATCAACCCAGGGTTAGGAGGGGGAAGAGGAGGCCTAATTCAAACGATCGTCGCAACTTAGAGGACACAACATATGCCTGGTCCTTTTATCCCATTGGAGGCATGCTTTCTCGTCAAGCTTTGCGGTCAGCAGTGGTTGGATTTTCTAGCCTCGGCCGCGTCACTATGGGGAGTCTAGATACGAGGAGTTTCGGCTTTACCCTAGGGCCGGAGTACGGAGTACACAAGATACGAAGTCCGAATCACGAGTTCAAAATGGATCAGATGCCACGCTGGCCACTTGTGGCTTGTTGCTCCTCCCCGAGGGGTGAGCCGTTTGTTTCGCAAGGAGGCTGATGCCGAGCGAACCGCTCTGGTCCGGCCATTATTAATGACAAAGTGGGGGGCGATCGGATTTCCCTGGTCACAGCAGTGCTAATGTCCGATAGTCAAGTGGGTTTTGGCCTCCACCGGGCACTTTATTTCCCCCATTGTCCCCATATCTTAACTCCCATTCCCTTCTCCGAGCCGAGCCATGGATAAGATAGCAAACCCCGTGAGTGAGCACAATATTATGGGTACATGGATATATGGATATACTGGCAACAATACTTAGACAGATACTACCATAAATACTATGTACATCACGCAGACCTACTACCAATTACTAGTACTACTAGGTAGCACAGTTATGGAGATTCCAAATACAGTTTTAGTACTATGCGACCGCAGGATTCTTAAAGGAAGGTCCTGCGAGGGTATGCATTAATTGACCACGGGAGTACGGAGTACCGAGCACGGAGTAATCCAAATGGAATGATCAAACAGGTATTCCCTTTCCCGGCCTAGCCCATGCCAAGCATTGAACGAATAAACCAGATGTTATGTAGAAATGGACTGGGGTGGATGCGGCCTTTCTAAGCGAGCATAAAGTTCAGCGCCGGCCTCCTCGTGTCGGATTAAGCTTAAGCTTCACTGAGCGGCGCACCAACCACCTTCAATCAAAGTTGTTTACCTGACACAGATTCATTTGATATAATGTACCCATACCCCTCTATGAAGACTCACTAGTAAAGTATCAAGTACCATGGATCTCCAATCACCCGTCACATTCTCGTTTGTCTTTGCAGGGTAAATTTCCCTGTCCACAAATTTCAATCTCGCCAGCCAGGAATGGGGCTGCCTTGTGAAGGGGCAGCCAAGGCTCGCGAATAACCTTACTGCACTCACCGACCCCACCGTAGGCGGTCTTAGTCCAAGCCACCGTAAGCTTAGCCAAGGCCCAACCAAGAGCTTCCAAGCCTAGCACAGCCATATATGACGAACCCAGGAGGAAAGGTGTCTTGCTTACCCGACTCATGTGGGAATGATCGCAACTTAATACTGTTTTTAGTAGTCTTACTCCGTAAATAGTGTGAGAGTAGGGTTGACGTGATTTTCCTCGCAGTACATTACTCCATACTTTACGGCGTATTCTATACGGAGGAGACCATATTCCATTTGTAGGCTACACAGTATTTCGTCTGTATACAATAGGTATGGGGTATACTGATACTTTACCGTAATATTCCCCCAGGAAGTTCTATTGTCTGAATGTCCCTGGAGAAACTTTTTTTGAATAGATAGGCTCAGCCTTGCCACTTACCAGTAGTCGCCCCTCCTTTCTTTTGCCTATTTCTATGGTTGATCCAAGGTTCTCGTGCACAAAGGCCCGAGTCATGCGATACCAAAGTCTTGGATTTGAAATCAGAATATGCATCACTCGTTTTCGCATTCAGTAATCTTTAATCTTTAATCTTTAAATTTATTTTTATTTTTGATCTTTGTATTTATTCAAAATATTTATTTATGGTTTGTTTTCTCATTTTAAGATTTTGACTGGCTTTAACTCATTTGTGCTTCCTTGTTTTTTGGCCCTTCCCCCTCCTGCCAGTCGTATTCCTCCTATCACATCTGGACCGTCATTCGCACTCCATCTTTCAACCTTAGTTGCCTTTCTCCACCCAACTCTGTTTTCCCAGAGGCTATTGTATTACCATTTTTGAATTTTCTTTTTCTTTTTTCTTTTCATAAAATTTTAAATTATTTCCGTTTTCCCATTTCCCTTTTTCTGGGCTCCCCCCCCCTGGGTCCATACATTGTCTATTTTCGCCCTTCCGACCCATTCTTGGAAACACGGCGTTTAGCAACTTCCGTCCGATCGCTTGGCTCGCCTTTCACTGCTCGGTTCCCTTTATTTAACCTTCTTTTGATGATTCCTCATGTTTCGGTCGCCTCATACTTCTGCAAAATTATCTAAGCCCTTTCATATCCCCCCCGTACTCCGTATTAAATTCTTCTACGGAGTATGTAGACCCTGACTCTAACATTTTCATTTTGGTTTTTTTCTTCCCCCCCCTTCTTTTCCTTCTACACTTCTGAGACAAGCCTTGGAGGGCCTAAACCCACTCCTTCTAAACCTTGTGGATTAAAGTCAGTGACCCTCCGTGTTCCTGTCGGCATTCTTTACGGCCGCTTCCACCTTTTCTTTCCCTCGCCCCACAACACAATCTCTGCAGGTTCTGGCGCTCAGTCACCCTTTTGGAAATTCAATTTCAGGGAAAAGGAAAATTGAAAAAAAAAAGAAAAGAAAATTACGCCAACCTAACCCTGTTGGGTGACGTAAAATAAAATTTAAAAAAAAAGCTCGGCCGTATCCACTTTGGAAGCGCCAGTCTCATCCACTACTCAGCCTACCCCATACCCGATCAACAGACTCTCGGATCCTGGTTCCTCTTATATACCTGTTGGAACCGCTCTCTCCACTTCTGGCCTTTTCCCTCTTTCTCCCCCGACTTGATCGACTTCCTCTATTCCTGTACTATTCTTGTACTTGTTCGGTGATAGATCTAGAGGATTACCCCCAGGCATTACAAACCAAGCCATCAACACACACAACACTCCCCTCTGGTCCACTCACTAAGATCTGGCTTACTTCGCTGGGATACTGATAGTGTGTTCCAACGACCAGAACTGATCATTTACTACTTTCACTCCACTTGCCAGTTCAAACAATCTGGCCATCAGAGCTCCTCTCGCCCATCTGGGTCAGCAATCAATACAAAAAGATTGGATGGAGACCTACTACGGCCACGTTCGCACCCCCGCGGACGCAATCATTCTCTTCGAGGCTTGTCGAATTGGCCTGCTTCCACGAGTGCAACGACGACTTTCAGAAAAAGAGCGACAATCGATTCGATCGGGCTCGGTATTTGTCTGGGATGAGCGGGAAGCCGGCATGCGGAGATGGACCGATGGGAAGTCATGGAGCGCCAGCCGAGTATCAGGTAGTTTTCTGACCTATCGCGAAATGGAGGGCAAACGCGGAGGAGGCAGTGTCTCACAAAGTTCGGTATCAAGGACGGGGAAATCACCAGAGAGCAGGGGTAGCGACGAAGATCGAGGAGACGGCACAGATGAGGGCCCAGATGGCTACCGATATAAGCCCGACGGTCTGATGAAACAGTCCTTCAGTATCACCACCTCCACTGGCCAGCATCTCCACCTCATCAGCTACTACTCGCGTTCGCACCCTTCTGCCGCCAACCTGCAACAACCAACGACCGATCCCGCCTTGCGACATGTACGACCTCAGAAAGGCCTGTACCCTGAGTCAACAGTCAACGACCAACAGAACCTCCCTGTTGTTACCCGCGGCCCGATGGCCGGCGCAACGGCATATCCCATCACTCCTCACCCGATGGGCCCCTACGCTGCGCGCGCCACTCATGCTCCTTCATATACGCCGCCATCCTACGCCTGGCCCCCAACCCCGCTTGCAACCCCGCCGACTGTGGCCGTGCCTCCATATGGCGCCTCCTACCTCCCACCGGTATCAGCGACAAACGGCCCCCCGGGACCTCCAGGGCCTCCCCCATATGGACATCCGCAACATCAACCATCCCCTCACTCCCTACCGCCACCTCCCCACGGTATGCCAGGCCCGTATGACCGGCCTATCCATATCGAATCTGCTCATCCCGCTGCTCCGCCATCCATCGTCCCTCAAGGGTACCCTGGGCGTTCCCCACGAACAATGCACGAGCTCCCACCTCAACCGCAAAAAAGCCCACGATACGCAGCTGTCCCAGACCCTCGTATGGTTTCACCCCGAGTCGCAGCAGGCGCCATCCAGCCACCCAATGCGATGGCTCACAACAGCCCTCACCTGCTGAAGCAACCTCCGCCCACCGCTCCGCAACAATTGGGTCCCATCGGCTCATCACCGAAGCCCGCTGAGGGCAATGGTGTGCCCGGTATCGGTGCCTTGGTGAGCGGGACATCCCTTGCCCCCATTACTACCATGGGCGCCCCTGCTGGTGCCCCGGAAGCCCGCCTGGCTCTCGCCCAGGCGTTCGTGATATCCCTCATGAGAAGATTGGGTTTGGCGGAGAGGATACGAGGGCACTGCGCCAGCTGGACCGGGTATTCATCTGATCTGATCGAAAATTGATCTAATCTGATTTCTCCACGAACGCTCTCAATATCAACACTTAAAAGCTCACCTTATGATATCCTTCGTCATTCGCCTTCTTCATGAACCTTATTTACAGTTTTCCTGTTTCTTGATTGTCGCTACAACTTCTCTTGATTCAAATGGTTTCTGGAACTGGGCGCCCTTTTCATGTGATATCCATATTGCTTTGTCTATTTTCGATGCCCTTTTCTCCTGTTATTCGTGTCTTTTTAGCATTTTGCATGGGTTGGTTGTCTGCATTTCCTGGTTCATATGTGATACGGTCACAGCTATGGGTCACGGGTATTTCATTTCTGCATTGGGATCGGTACACACGGATAGGATACACTTCTTGTAGTATTCGGTTATTTGGTCAATCGACTTGCTTATATCTCTCGTTGTCTCTTAGCCTAAATTCATTCGTAGATTTCGTAGATCTTGTAGGCCTCTTGCTGTGGAAATCTTCACCCCTCTTCGTGCAATGCTGATGTAGATCAGCCTTGCCCTTCAGAGACCCCAGTCAAATGACAAGCCTATATTATGTCAATATACCACCTCGTACCCAAGGCCTTACCAAATTATCGACGAAATGTAATCTAGCTAGGATAAATAAAGAGACCAATGCAACAAAGAATGGTAAATTGGGACGAATGGAGTGTTGTTGTCTTGACGCACCCTTTGACAGTTTGCTTTCACGGAGTTGGACTGGTACCAATAACTTTGCTGAGTCCTGACCGCACAGCAGGAGTGGACTTTGACCATAGAGAAATATTGATTGCCCAGGTGAGTAAATGAGCCTCAAGATTTCCTTGAGTTCCAACCAACTTGAAGGTTTGAGGGGCTTGATGGAACCTTGGAAATATACTAACTACTTCCAACCCCTGGGAGAACGGACTGCTAAAGAGCTTCGCCTCGAGATGGTACATTCAAGTTGACAAAGCTGATACTTCCCCGTGTTGAAATCAGAGATCACAGTACGGTCTCAGCAACCTTGGAACATGTCTGCAGAACGTTTGAAATAACCAATGTTTTCAAGTTAGCTGCTAGTACATAAGTTCAATTTGGTTCAAGGTCCACGGGTCCCAAGGCGTGATAGTATACTATATACTACTACTAGTAGCAGTAATTACAGCGTTCCAAGTCACTAGTATTACAAAGGTAGTTTATTGACATCCTGTTTCACATCCATGGATATTTAGACTTTGCCTAGGAAGCTGCTTAGGTTGCAAATGAGCTTTTGATCCATCTCAGTAGGAGGAGGCACAGAAACCTTGGAATATACATGGGGTGTCTATCTGGGAGGTTGGAGTTGCACATAGAGTGATTAATATGGAGGTCATAGTAAGGCATTGATATTATGTACCTACCTGGGTACCTAAGCCCGTGAAAGCCTTGTGCTTATATGCACTGCAGTGGCCACCCGGAGCTGCGTAAACTGTGGGATATCGTAGCAGGTTTATTTTGATGTCTTCTGAAGACTGATCGTACGTCATGGTACTACCACCTGTCATCGTTAGAGCATCGAGCAGCAGGATCATGGAAACTTGGACTTCAGAGCTTCAATTACTGTTCATGAAGTCATTCTCTTCATATATTATCATATTTTACCTAGGTATTTTCAAGTCCAGGCATCAAAGTGCAACTTTAGAAGCAGCCTTGATCAGTGGTCGGAACTCGCCATTTCTACTAGTGCACGCTAAGGCATGAGTTACTGGATATGATTAAATACTACTGCTCCGAGTCCTGCCCTCGACTCGGCAGGGCTCTGCAAACTTTGAAGATTCGGAAGCGATGAGACTTCAAGCCATATTGATACAATA